ATAACTACTAAGAAGATATAAATATATACTATTAAAAGTAAGTTAAATAGCTATAAATTTACCTAATATATTACCTACTATAGATCTAATATAAGAAAAAGGGGGATACTTTATAATTCCCTTTATACTATATTAGTTTACTAATTATATAGCTTTATATAGGTAAGATTAGGTTAGTAGCCTTCCTTTATAATAAAAGAGTCTTTAGATTCTCTTTATTAATATATTAATATAAGAAGGGACCTAAAGATCCTATCTATATTATCCTTTCCTATCTACTATTATACCTAAGCCTAGATATAACCCCCCTCTAGAACTAAAGAGATATTCTCTTAGCTTTTAACTACCTAAAGTATATAATAACTATTATAATATAATTCTATAGATAATAATAGCTATAATACCTTTAAATATAGATAGGTAATAAAAAATAATAAGCTAGGCTAGGTCTTAATTAGGTTTTAATAATAATATAGGTAAAGGTAGGTTTAGAGTATAATATTCTATTATCTAATTAGAGTTTTTTATAAATTTTTACCTATTAATATAATAATATTTATTAAAAATTAAAAGAATAAAACTAAAGTACTTTTTATTAAACCTAAAGGTAAAGGTAGTTAAGACTATCTTAACTACTTTAACCTCTTTCTTAATAATATCTTTCTTAACTACCTTCTTAATAGTCTTTTTAGGCTTTTTACCTTTATTTAGAAAGGGCCCCTTCTCCTTCCTTTTATTTTTAATACCTTCTTTAGTTAGGCCTTTTCCTTTTCTATTAATAAAGGCTCCTTTAGCCTTCTTCTTTAAGATTTATTATATTAAAGATAGACTTATAGTAGTAGTATAATTAAGAGAAGTCTAAAGTAACTTAAATAGCTCTAACTTACTATTATTAATAACCTTATTATAAGTAATAAGATTAAACCTATTAAAAAGTATAAAAGTATTATATTAAGGCTTAAGATAATTAATTAAAGCTATAAATAAAAAGTATATTATATATATATTATTAGTAAGTCCTTTAAGAATACTTACTAGTTTACTCTAAACTATAGATATACCTAGAAATAGGTATACCTTATATACTAGAATTAGGCTAAAAGGTATAGTAAAAGTAGTTATATTATAAGTATACTTCCTAGTTATACTATCTATAGTATAGTATTAATAAATAGCTATATTATATAGTTAAATATATTCTTTATCTTCTTTATTAAGGAAATTATTAATTATATTAAAAGGCTAAGTTAAAGCCTTAAGAATAGATTAAGTAACTAGCTAAGACTAAATAATAATAATAAACTTAATAATAAAAGTATAGATATAAAGATAAGAGAGCTTTTTCTCTATATATTAAAGATAAGAGTTTAAGTTTAAAATTATACTAATTAGCTTCTAAATAAGAAAATAAGGTAAAAAGACTTACCTTTTAACTTATAATAAACTAACTACCTTTTATTTATAAAGGGTAGATAATTTATATAAAGAACCTATATAGAACTAATACTTATAAAAGTAAAGTAATATATTCTCTTTATTAACTTTTTTTTTAAACTTTTATTTACCTTTCTCTTTTTCTCTTTAGGCTTTTAAATTAAAGGGAATAAAGTAGGTAATATAGTCTTTATAGTATTTATAAGACTAGTAAGAGAAAGAGAGGGAACTTTAAAAGTAATAATATAATATTAAAAGTTATAAAGAAACTAAAGAGAGGATAAGAGGTTAGTAAAGAGTAAGAGAAAGAAGAGTAGAAGTAAGGAGTAAGATAAAGGCTAATAAAAACTTATAAAAATAATTAGGCTATTTAAAATAAACTAAGAAAACTAGGTAATAGACTAATAAGTTATAATAAGGTAAATCTAATTAAAAATACTCTTTATAAGGTATTTTAGAACTATAGGCTTAGACTTATATAGAAGCTTTAATATAGAAGGAGATATAATACCTTATAAGTTTTTAATTATTAAGTAAAGTATATTAGTAAATATAAGGAGTATAAGAAGTAAAGAAGAGTATATATAAAAGTAAATAAAAGTTATAATATTAATAATTAAAGAACTAAAAAGACTAATAAAAAGGCTAGAAACCCTTTTTTAGTTAAGTATAAGAGTAAAAGTTAATAAATAAGATATTATAAAGTAACTATATAAAGTTAGTTAATAAAGAATAATAAGATTTAATAAAAAAAGGCTATAGGTATAAAAGAAGGGAATATAAAAAGGGAAGAAAAGGTAGAAGAGAAAAAGGAGAAAGATATATTAATAAAGATAAAGAAAATAATATTAATAATAAAAGAAAAAGAAAAAGAAAAAAAAAAGAAAAAAAAAATTACCTTTTATTCCTTACTAACTACTAACTAATAGTTAATAAGGTTTTAAATTACTTATTTATATAAAGTCTTATTAACTATAAATAGAATTAAAATAATAACTTATTAATTATATATTAACTAATAAAAAATAATAATAACTATAAGTATTTAAATAAAGTATAGTTAAAATTACTATTTAGCCTTTATTAAAAGCTAATAATTATAAAGAAAATATATTTATTTATTTATTAAGTTTTATTATATAGTATAAGCTAATAATAATAAAAATTAAAGGTAATCTTAAAAATACTATTATAATATCTTTTATAAGATATACTTTAAACTTATATAAATAAAGTATAAAGTATTAAGGGTAAAAAGAAATAATAAATAAGGATAAAAGCTAAAGACTTTTAAAAAAGAAGGGAAGTAAAAGTATTATAAAAGCTAGGAAGCTATAGTAGTAGTTAAGCTTAACTAGCCTAAAGACTTATAAGGCTAAATATAACTCCCTTTAATATAAATAAAAATAAAGAGAAAAGGGAGGAATTAAAAGGTTAAGAGGTTAAAAGGATAATAGGCTTAACTAGTCTAAAGATATATAAGATTAGATATAACCCCTTTAATATAGATAAAAACCTAAAGGGAAGGAAGGTAGTTAATAGGCTTAGCTAGCTAGAGTAGTATAGGCTAGATATAGGCTAGGATATAGATAAAAACCTAGTATATAGTATTAAGAGGGGTCTTATTAAACCCCTATATACTTTAAAATAAGATTATAAAGAATTCTATAAATATAGATAAGGTTTTCCCCTAGGTACTCTAGTTTTTCCTTACCTTATAATTAGTAAAGGTATTAGATAGGTTATTTAGCCTAATTAGTATATAAGAATTATTATTATTATATAGAAGTCTAGTAAATACCTACTTAATACTATTTTTATATTTAAATATAAGCTTCTTAATATATAATATATAAACTACCTAACTATTACTACTATATTAAAAGTTATATATAAAATAATATAAAAAAAATAATTAATAATATTAGTATATAATCTATAGAATAGACCTATATAGCCTTTAGTATATTTTATTACCTTAATATAATAAACTATACCTTAAATATTTTTATAATAAAAGGCTTAAAAAGCTATATATATTAGTAAGTAAAGTATATATTTATATAGTAATTAATATTAAAGCTAGAATTTAATAGTAACCTTATATAGTATATAATAATAGAAAAGGCTAAGAATATAGTAAGTATAGTACTTCTTATAACTAAGATAAGTATAGCTATTAAAGTAATTAAAATAATAATTAAGATAATAAAGCTAAAGTTAAAGCCTAAATAGAAGCCTATATTATAGTAGCTAAAGCTAGTTAAGCTAATCTAAGACTAGAGGTAGTATATATTTAGAATAGATAAAGGCTAGTTTATTAATCCTAAGGATAGCTAGTTTACTAATCTTATAAATATAGGTATACTAAGCCTAATACTAATTAAGCTATATATAAAGGAACTTAGATAAAATATAGAGGTATTAAAGCTAGTTAATAATATAGATAAAGATAATATAGATAAGAATAAAATAAATAAGATAGATAGGATAGAAGTATAAGGATTCTTTAGGTTACTTCTTTTTATTTTTATAGAATAATACTTTTTTCTTTTATTATAAGACTTATATATACTTATAATTTAGCTTTACTTAAAAAGAATTATTATTAACCTCTTTATATATAGTAAAGTATAATTAGTTTTTATCTATATATAGGGTAAGATTATTTAGTTTTATTTAATAGTAAGGTTACTACTATAAGCAATAAGGCATATTATTACGTGTATAGCACTACTTAGGGCTATAAGCTACCTACTTAGTAGCTAGAGAATATATTATTATCTTACTAAAACTCTTATGCCTAATAGAAAGTACTGGCTGCCGCGGTTAACACTAGTTACATCTTTTGATCCCTTCTCAACAGACGCCTGTATTCCTGTATCAATTACCAAGGCGTCGTCTTGGAGCACTATTGGCTCTTTTGTACATACTGAATAACAACACTCATCAGTGCCACTCTTACGACGCCCTGTCGTCCCGAGCATTGGGCATCGTCCCCAGTAATCAATACCTAGATACCTAGGTACCTACCAGGTAGCTACCTTGGGTAATAGAACCTACTTCGTGCACCGTAGGTACCTACCTGGTACAAGGGTAGCTGCCACAGCTCTGACCAGCCGCCTGCGAGCGTGCGCTGTGGCTGCCCCCCCGGACTCCGAGGCCGCGAACGGAGAAAAGCAAAATTTACAAATGTACTCATGACATCTGCTGAAGCGCTGAAGCATTGCCACCTGCACGCACGACTTCACAGGTCGCATACTAATCTTTTCTCTCCCGCGTCTGCGTCGAGACTTGTTCTTCTTTGCTCTCGCTCAAGCTCACCACCGTTGCCCAACTCTTCTCCGACCATCGACTCATAGTCGACCCGGCTCTCGGTGCATCCGACAGGACCGCCACCCTTTTTCTCCCTCCTCCACCACTACCGAAAACTCCACGTCGGCTATTTCGACACTCGATACTGTGACAGCTTCGCGCGTGCCTGAATTGCAGTCGTTCTCCCAGCCGTCAACCTGGCGGCCATAGATTCGAAAGCATTCGGCCCAGCGCCAACTGCTGTGGCCGAAATGGCCCTGCCAAATGCCGAAGCCGAGGAATATGAGTACGACCATGGTATCTGGAAGCTCTGCCACACCCGAGTGCTAACTGTTGGCCATTAGCTATGAGTCGCTGCCACCCAACTTCTCTTTGCTTCAAAATATGGCAGCTGGCGCCTTTGCAGGTATAGCTGTACGTCTCGTCTTGGCTCTCCGCAGGAGCTGGCGACCTATTGCGGCACCGACAACGCACGCTCGTATGCAGGCATCACTAATTGATCAATTAGGAACACACTGTCATGTATCCTATTGATGCAGTCAAGGTAAATCTCCACAGGAGGACGTCATTTTCCCGCTCGCACTGACTTATCACCGCCAGACTCGCATGCAAGTTCTGAACCCAAACACGACGATTGCCTACAGCGGCGTGCTTCGCAGCACATATCAGATGGCTGCGGGCGAGGGTTTTTTCAGCCTTTGGCGAGGAATGTCTAGCGTCATCGTCGGAGCTGGTAGGATGACCGACCCATTCAAAATGCCAGCGACAGCACACTGACGTATTGAACAGGCCCGGCGCATGCAGTGTACTTTGCTACGTACGAGGCCGTGAAACATGCTATGGGAGGAAATCAAGTAGGCGTTCACCACCCGCTTGCAGCCGGTGAGACTCGACCCCGGTTATTGTGGTACGCAACGAAACTTACTGACATCCTTGTGTTCAGCCACTAGCGGTGCGGCGGCCACGATTGCCAGCGATGCTTTCATGAACCCTTTTGATGGTATGGACGAAGCGCATACCCCTCGCCAGAGACATTGTTTAACAACCGCGATGCAGTCATCAAGCAGCGCATGCAGATTCAGGACTCGAGCAAGATGTACCGTTCCATGGTGGACTGCGCCAAGTACATTTACCGGAACGAGGGTTTTGGCGCCTTCTACCTATCATACCCCACGACGCTCTCCATGACCGTTCCCTTCACAGCGCTGCAGTTCCTCGCATACGAATCGCTATCGACCACCCTGAACCCCACCAAGACGTACGATCCCGTTACTCACTGCTTGGCCGGTGCTATTGCAGGTGGTTTCGCAGCCGGTCTGACCACGCCCATGGATGTCATCAAGACGATTTTGCAGACCAAGGGCACGTCCACCGATCCCGCTGTGCAGAACATCAATAGCTTCGCTGGTGGCTGCCGCTTGCTATACCAACGCGAAGGCTTCCGCGGCTTCTTCAAAGGTGTCCGACCTCGCATCGTGACAACCATGCCCAGCACGGCCATTTGCTGGTCAGCCTATGAATTCTCCAAGTACGTGTGTCAGCTCCTAGGGCCTTGATCTCCAGCCTCCCTTTTCTCGTTTACCCTCTTTTACCCTACACGTCACTAAACTGACCTGTCAACAGGGCTTACTTCATCCGGCGCAACGACAGGCAGTAATGCTACGGCGAGGTGAAGATGCAAGCGTCACACCCACGTAGCGCATAACTGCGGCGTCTCATCAGCATCATTTTTCTGTCCAGTGCGGCGATGGTCGTTCACGATGTCCACTGGCCTTTGTATTTTTCATTTATGCCTCATAAAAGTATTTCCGAGGGCTGGGATGCCCATCGCATATAGCCAACCAACAAATGCTGGTTGTATGTCCAGACCGTGAGTCCTGCGCGACGGTCATGTTTGGGTTAAGTGAAGAAGATTATGCGGTTAGACCTGTTTACATGTATTCCCCCCCCCCCAGAGTTTCTCGCTCTTCTTTTCTTTCCTCGTTCGATAATGTCTTGAAAACAAACTACTGCATTTCTCAGCGATGGCTTGAGTACCATTACCATACAGACACATGTGTGCTCCTCTGTGCAAATGCTCTAAATTTTCTCTAGCGAATCTTGCGGCGTGATATATACATATTCATGTATATGAACCAAAGCAAAGGGGGATGGGGACGAAAAGTTTCAAGCACCATTCATTATCCAGACTAAATCTATAGCTTTGGCCGCCCTTATTAAAATCCAAAGGGGCCACCTCCGCCAGGGAAGTTGAACTTGAACTGTTGACCACCGCCGCCGCCCTGCTGGTACATGAAGGGGTGTCCGCCGCCGCTTCCAAAGGGACTGCCATGGAAAGGGTTCCCTCCCCCTTGGAAGTTGGGGTCATCGCCTCGGTCAAACCGGGCACGAAGCTCGGGGTCGCTCAATACCTCGTAGGCTTCATTGATGGCAGACATCTTCTTTTGCGCGTCTTCATTTGAGATGCCTTGCTTGTGAGCCTTGTCGGGATGAAACTGCTTGGAGGCCTTGCGGAATGCCGACTTGATCTGTCTCTCGTCTGAGTCGTTGTCGACACCAAGAATCTTGTAATAGTCCTTCGTCTGGCTTCGCTTCAGGGCAATTTGGGCTTTTTCCAGGACGGGGTTAATCTTGTCATTCTTGTCAGGGTGTATCTCGTTGGCGCTCTCCAGGGTCTTAATGGCTGCTTCAAACTCCCCCTTCTTCAAGAGAACCTTTGCTCGGTAGAGCATGCCCCAAAATGACTGCGAGTTGAGCTCAAGAGCTTCCTCACAGTATTTCTGGACATTTTTGTGGTTGCCCTATCATGATAAACCATCAGCAGTTGTCCGAGTATCGAGTCTTGCCAACAATTCATACCTCTAGGTAAGCATTACATGTCATTTCGATGAGCTTGCCGTATAGCTGTGAGGGAGCCTTTTCGGGAATAGAGCCGGCCTGTCTCAGCTCTTGCATTTGCTCTTTGAGCAGTGTCAACAATCCTGTTTCCTCCTCAGTGCCAACAAGTGTTCTTCCTGCGGTTGTTGTTTGGCCTCTGCTGAGCTGCCCCGTAGCCCGATTCAGGCCTTTCTGAAATGTCTTTTGCTGTTTGTGAAGCTTCTTGCAGACCTTTGAATCAGGATCCGAGTGGAGACACTTGCGAATTTGTGACAGTCCGTTGTCCATATCGCCGAGAGCGTAGAAGCTGGTGGCAGAGATGAGAACATGAGGTGAGGTGTCGCCAGATCGCAAGTGCAACACGTGCTGCAGGTCGCCCATGCCCTCTTCAATCTCGCCACGCGCAAACCTACAGCTAGACCGCAGCTCACGTAGAGCCACAGATCTAGAAGCAACGAAGATGGCGGTGCCAGCATAGTTGACACAGTCATCCCAGTTCTGGTTCTTGGAAGCCTCGACTGCAGCAGCCGAGGCGCTCTCCGCTGCCGCCAACTCGACAAGCTCGGGCGAGTCGCCAGCCTTCTCCGCCACAACATAGTCCGCCTTGGCGCCTTCCCAGTCTGCGACCTTGGACTTAATTTTGGCCAGCTGGACGTGAGCACCCTGGAAGCCGGGCTTGAGGACAAGTACTTTGTAGAAGTCGTCTGTGGCTTGGTTGGCTCGACCGATGGACAAGAACGCAGTCGCACGCTTGAAAATAGTCAGGTAGTTGGCTGGGTCTCTAGCGATGGCGACGTCGTAGTAGAGAATGGCTTCGCTGGCCTCGCCTCTAGCCATGTGCGTCTGCGCATTGCTCAGCAGCGACGAGACCGGAAGATCAGCCGGAATGTCCTGCACGGATAGTGCATTGGCCGTGGAGAGGACTCCGGCAGTGAGGGCCAAGCGAGAGAGGGGAAACCGCATCTTTGCGCTCTCGGTGTTGTCGCGAAGGTGCTGAATCACGAATCGGACTGTCGGCTGGGGAAGAGCTGCGGGACGACGGAGGGTTCTTCGGTGGCTGAGCAGGCTGGCAGCAAAAGATGCGGGGAGCTCTGTGGCGAAAACTGTCAAAATCGGTAAAGCAACGTAGAAGAAAGTCCTGCTTGCGCGGGTGCACGAGTTGAAGTGTGACGATGGTGACGATGCGCTCGATTGCCCACGCTGTCCTTTAAAGCACGTCACTAAAAATAATGCCAACTAATAACATAGGTACCTACAGACAGGCCAGGCCCACCAAGTGGGCCACTGTCATGCTCCTCATTTGCTGTGGCGCTATGAGGCGGCCCACCTACCTTCCACCTCAGTGCGCAAGGCTTCTTAGCACCATAGTGCTCTCCTCTTGACTTGCACATGCCAACCAACTCCATGGATCGTGTATCTTATACTAATGGAGTTGCTGCCTCCATTCGAGCCCCCCTGCCCCAACGGGCGTCCTCCGACCCGCCTCGTTACCTTCAGGCGAAGGCTGATATTTTGACAACAAGAATTGGTCAAATGACAACAAGCTAAACCGAATTGGTATAGACCCACGTAGCCACTCTACCAAGTTTATCTCTTAAGGCTGCCACGATGGCTGGAATTGATAAATTCGCTATAATAAAGCCGGCGACATTGATTATTGATTGTTGACTTGTTTAGGCGTCGTTCTAGCCCTTAAATCTACGATAATAACACCTATTATATCGCCCGTATCGCCCGTATCGCCCGTATCGCCTATATCGCCTGTATCGCCCGTATCGTCTGTATCGTATCTCTGCATCGCTAAGCCGTCCTCGGGTCTATACCAATTCGGTTAGCTTGTTGTCATTTGACCAATTCTTGTTGTCAAAATATCAGCCTTCCCTTCAGGCATCCAGCGTACTCCGAAACCGACCGAGAGCTCCTCCGCTTCAGCTCCACGGACGGGCCAACCAAGGACGGTCTTGACTATGAATTTGCATTGATCTGTTGTGGAATCGTGACGGGAAATACTTGGGCGAGCGGGTGGATAGCAGTCCTCCAAGACGAACAGTATTCGCGTGTGAACAGGCCAGCCAACGGCGTGCTCAGGGGCAGTACCTATTACTACTTTGTCGGCGATCATGCACCGACGCATAAATACCCCATCGTTCCGTCTTTTCACCATTGGCGATTCCCGCATGACGCGCTTCCCAATATTTGGGCTCGCCTTGAGATACCCGCCCAAGACACGCAACAAGACGAGGCAGTTCTGGCGCGCGACGTCACATGCCGTGTATCAGCACATAAAGGAGCTCGAGAGCTAGCCCATCTTGTGCCGGTAACGGAAGGAAACTGGTTTACAAACAACGGAATGCGCCGGTATGCATTTGCCAATTCCGCCCACGATCGTATTGCATGCCCTTGCTAAGCTTACCCGTCTCTAGATACTGCCGTAATCCGGTCGGCGGCATGGCTATCAATGATACAATGAACATACTTGTTCTCCGGAAGGACCTGCATTTCTTGTTTGATCATCGCCGCTTTGTATTCGCCGCAAAGCGTGACCGATCAGACGCCGTCCACCTCGTGGTACATGTACTGAGCCACGAGAAAGCCGAGGAAATTATCGACCTCTACCATAATAGGCGGACACAAGCGCTTCACGGTGTCTCCGCTGAGATGGTCTTTGCACGCCTCGCGTGGGCATTATTCACGTCAGCGGACTTTCCGGCCTTTGACGGCGCGGCAAAAATGGCAGTCAGGCTTTTCAATGCGGAAACATCTCAAACACAGGCTCAGGCTCTCGATCAGCACGATATTTGTGGCAGATTAAGATCATTCAAGCCTTACTCGCGAAGTCGAAGCAAAAGTGGCAGCCCCACCGAACGGGCTCTCGACGAGATCAATGAAGCGGACGGCTTCTGTGACTATTTGTCTGAATCAGCTGACGATCTCTGGGGTGATGAGCTTGACGATTGCTATTCTCGCGGCTTGAACAGTGTGACGCCGCCTCGAGGGCGGAGTCGCAAGCGGAAGCGTGGTCGTGATATGGATATGCAAGACTCGCCGCCTGGACTCTTGTTCGTTCAACCTCGCCATTTAAGGCCGCTTCGTCGCCGCATTCGGCACATACAGAAACCGTTCCGCGTGATAGTCAAGGCTCGCTTCAGGCTACTAACACAAAGGAGGTGGGACAAGGTGATGCGACTATTAAGCTAGATGAAGTTATAGAGTAGAGGCTACTAGATCATCGTTTAATATCTCTCTTATCCCTTCTATCCCTTTCATCCCTTTCAGAAACGTACCTAGCACAGTAAGGTGCCAACGAGTCCACTGTGACGGGTTTTCCAGCCCTCAAAAGTTTATCAAGGTGCTAGAAGGACCAGAAGGTCTAATTAGTATAATTTAATAAATAAATAAATAAAGTACTAGATTGGTTTCTTGTTTGATATCTAATTTTCCCTTATTGTAATATTAAAAAAGCTCGCTATGGTGTCCTACTGCCTAGCAGCCTGATTTCTCGTAGGATCACCTAAGTTATACCGGCGGCAACGGTTAACATATAAGACAGGCAGGACACTAACGTTAAAGTATCCTATTATATCCTCTATCCCTCTCCTTTCCTCCCTTTTTATAATAAACACTATAGATCCTATATAAATATTTAATAATATCTTATCTACCTAACTAGAGTAGCTATCTTAAGTAATAACTTCTTATATAATACTATTATATAATTAGTTATAAGACTATTAGCTATTACTAGCTAAGTAACTTAAGAATATCTTTAAAGAAGTACTAAGCCTAGTAATCTTAAGTACCTTTAATAATAATAATAATATACTATTAATACTTATAAAGTCTATAAAATATTAGTTTTAGTTAGTAATAAAGTTAGTATTCTTTATATACCCTAAGTACTTCTTACCTATATAGAACTTCCTTAATAATATTAAATCCTTTAGCTTTAAGTACTTTTATATAGTATAAAAAAAGTATAAGAATAGAATATTATACTTTTATATAATTAGTAAATAGCTATAAAAATATAATATTAAAAATACTAAATTCTTTAATATTAATTAATATTATCTTAATATTTAAAAAATAAAAAGTTATTTTATTATATAATAGTACTTTAATAAATATAATATAAAGTATATTAGTAATAATATATAGAAGCCTAAGGCCTTTTAGTAAGAGGCTAAAACTATAATATAAAAAGATATAATAGCTTTTAAGAATAAGTCTAGCTTCTTTTTATATTTTAGTAATAAGGTATTATATAATCTAATTCTTTATTATAAGAATATCTAGGCCTATATAGATAATATATTCTAGCTACCTATACTAGTCTATATACTACCTATTCTAATAGGTAAAGCCTAGGTCCTACCTTAAGAGATTAAAAGCTAGCTATTAAAAAACCTCTATATATTCTTATACCTAGTATATCTTAAATCTCTTTATATTTATAATAAGATATAGCTTTATAAAACTATATAAGCTTATTAGCTTAATATTTATTATTATATAAATAGCTATTAGAATATATTACTATTTAATAGTAATAAAGATTATATTATTATTAATAATATCCCTTTCTTAAATAAAGATATATAGAAGTATTATAAGTAAATACTTAGGTATTAAAATAACTTCTTTATAACTAATAAATATATAAAGAAAACTAACTTTATTACTTAAGATAAGCCTTATATATATCTATTTAATAAAAACCTTTATAGCTATATAGGTATTAACTATAAATAAATAAATAATAACTATATATTTATAAACTTATAAATACTATTATATATAAAAAGAGTATAAGAGAATAATATAGATTAGTTAGAGCTAGATTAGTTAAAACTAGATAAGATAGATAATAATATTAGCTTTTAACTACTCTCTTTAGAATATAGTTATAGTAATATTCTAAATCTTAAGTATAAGTAAAATATAGTACTATATCTCCTTTTTCTTAATATTCTCTTTATTCTTACCCTTTTCTAGAATATTCCTAGGTATAATTATTATAAATACCTTTAAGGTAGCTATAGATAGGTATTTAAGCTTAAAGCTAATATTCTATATATAATATTAGAAATAGGATATCCTCTTATTAGGTACTAACTCTTATATAATAGATATAGGGGTAGGTAGCTCTTACCTTTACCTTTACTCTTACTATATACCTATCTTAATACCTTATATAATATTCTTTAGTATATTTACTAATATAGAATAAGGGAAAAGGTATTATTTAATAGAGAATAATAGTATATAAAAGATTATAAAGAAAATATAATTAAAGTTAACTTTCTTACCTATATAATAAAGGCCTTCTACTAAAAGACTATAAAAAATAGCCTTTTTTTTAAGTAATATAAAAGCTAAGACCTTCTTAAAATAGAGTTATATTATACTATAGAATATATATATTTAGTTAAGTATAATATAGCCTTTTATAGCCTTCTAGTAAAAAATAAAATAACTATTCTTTTTATTAAAAATATAGAACCCCCTCCTTAAAGCCTTAGCTATAGTTAATAGGTTATTAACTACCTTAAAAAAAGAAGACTTTATTATACTAATATAGATATTATTAAAGATAAAAAATAGATTCTTTTTTAGCCCTTTTAGCTTTATATAAAGAATATATACTATATAACTTTAAGATATATAGATTTTAAATTCTAGTTTTACTATATATAAATATATAAAAGACTCTTTATAAGCTATTATATTTTTATTATCTAAATATTAATAAAGCTCTATTATAGGTAAGATTATACCTATATTTATATACTTAGTATATATATTAAAGAATAGCCTAACTTAATATATTAAGTATTTCTTTATTTATTAAAGTTATATAATAGACTAGGTAAAGTAGTTAAATATACTACTATAAGAAAAGTAATAATAGAGGCTACTATAGTATTTATAAGGTATAGTTAATAGTAATAATAGTAATAGCTACTAATAAAGTAGATAGTAGGTATATATAAGGTATATCTAGATTAAAGGTATTAAGAGTAGTAAGAGTAAAGGTAGTAGTAGTAGGAACTACTAGAATAATATTAATATAGTTAATAGTAATATATTATATAGAATATATCTTAATAACTATAAGAGAAAAGGGTTACTACTACCCCTTTTTATTATCCTAAGAAAAGAGAAATTAGGCTACTAGGTAGTAGGATACTATAGTAAGCTTTTTTAATATTATAGATAGGGTCCTAAAAGAGCCTATTATAATAAAAAGCTAGAGTACTACCTCCACTATGTCTATAATAATACCTATTACCTATAGGCGCCCTACTATACTAGACTTAGGTTAGTCTGTATAGGGGCCTTATACACACGGTTTGTACGCCTTACCGTCGTAATACCCCTATTCCCGGACACCAGGACACCAGAAAACCATGGCTATAATATTATTAAGCTACTTCTAGATACTAAAAATCTTTATAAAAAAAAATTTAGAAGCTATATTAGATACTTAAATAAGAATTTAGAAGCTATATTAGATACTTGAATAGGGCAAATTTTTATATTGAACGGAAAACGTGTTTATTTTATATTGCAACGGAAAACGTGTTAAGTTTAGTACCCTGTTAAAAAAAACAGGCCTTACACGCGTAGGTACCTTAGTAGTATCTATTCAGTGTTTTCCTCCACTACCGCTAAGGTAAATTGGGTACCTACACAATTGGTGGTGTACTAAGTAGGTACCTACACCAAATATGGCAAATAGGCTCGAGACGCTGCCACACCAGGGTGGATACACCTTACCTAAGGGTACCTCAGTAAGTTCAGCTAAGGGTAGGCTCCCTCAGATAAGGTAGCCCCATTTTTTTTAGATATACACTCTACAAAACCCTAATAACTAACCAGAATTATATACTATTAACCCTAAGTAACTACTAACCTAACTACTAACCTAACTACTAACCTAACTACTAACCTAACTACTAACCTAACTACTAACCTAACTACTAACCTAACTACTAACTACTAGGAATTAGTTATAAACTAATTAAGAACTAGTTATAAACTAATTAAAAACTAGTTATAAACTAGTTAGTAATTAGTTATAAACTAATTACCTAAATACCTAACTATTAACTTAATTACTATTTAACTAGGAATTAGTTATAAACTAATTAGGAATTAGTTATAAACTAATTAGCCTTTGTATAGTATATATTAGAAATTAGTGGGGCAACATCGGCTGAGGGATGCCACCCTCAGCCGAACTCACTAAGGTACCCTCAGGTGAGATACTGCCTGCACACGAGGCAGGGACCACCACCTATACGCCGTAAACAGAATTTTCAGAATTGGAGCTGGTTTCTTGCAATTTCTCGTAGCAACGAGTGAATTCAATTCGCGTCTACGTATAAATCCAGAGCACTCATTCGATGTGTCTATCCTCATCAGAACAGCTGCCATCTCCTATCTGGCCGGCCCGCTACCATGGCCCATCTGCGCGGCCACTTGGACGCCGACGCCCCTGCCACCATGTTCTCGCCGTCAGTCGCTCGCATCGCCGCCACGGAGGCCAGAGACTGGTCTTTCGTCGACTCATGGGTTGCCTCGCAATTCCCAGGCCGCCAGCCACCGCCCTTTGAGCACAACGCCGACACCCTGCGAGCGCTGCTGGGCCTCATTGCGCTCAACGACACGGCGTCCGAGGAAGCGCGTCTGCTGGCACGCGTAGACCGAGATGCTCTCGTTGAAATACCGCCCAGCGCAGACGCAGCGGCTAGTGCTCGACCTGCCACGCTGGCGGCCATGCGAGACTCGCTGTTGGACATTGTTGAGCAAGAGCTGCCCAAAGAAGGACGAGTCGCGCTCCATGCCATGTCTTCCATGGCCGTCTCCGCCAGCATCGCCCTGCCCGAGCCCGAGCAGCTCGGCGCCGCTATCCTGGCGACCCAGTCCGCCATCTTTGAGACGGAGCAGATGACGTCTCGAGCCGACGCTTTGGAATGGCACATTCATGCAGAAATCGAGCACGCCAACCACGTGTTGAATCTGATGCTGGATGAGATTGGCAACGTGCCCGAAGGTCTCGGAAAACGTAACATGGAGCTGCAACGTACGGTAAAGGCCATGAAATCCCAGGTGCCCGTGTTCGAGAAGAGCGTCGCGTCGCTCAAGTCATCCGCTGCTTCCTCCGACTTTACAGTGCACGACATACTACGAGAGGAACAAGAGTATCTCGCCTTGGTAGAAAAGAGAAGGGAGCTCGAGGGGCGCATTTCGGTATTCCGCGGGCTTCCAAGCGACCCAGACTTGGCAAGACATGAGTTGAATGCATACCGAAAAGAGCTTCAGAGCATCACATCGCGACGAGATGCCGCCTTCCAAGGCTTGGTGGAGCGCGAAACACCAGTGAAAAGGAGGTGACCATTTGGACTGGCTCAAAAGATTCCGCAAGTTCATTATAATGTATGTATATAGCCAACTATGAGTCTGCTCAAGTATTACGCTTACTCCTGCCCGAGACTGCGCCTCCAAGCCTGCCAAACTGCCTTCCAAGACCTGATCTCTTCGCCGCCGGCGCATTCGCATCCTTTTGCGGGGCTGGATTGCCGGCAGCGGCTCTACCATCCTTTCCTCTAATGTCGAACGAGCCGTCGCCTATCCTGAGCTCGCCGAGACTGATACTTGGCACCTCATCGCTGTCCATGTTCTGTCTCTGTGCTCGGCGAGCCCTCTCCTGGACACTGCGAAACTTCTCCAACAATTCCACCCAACGGATGCCGCCCTCTTCGCGCCCCTTGAGGCGATTTGGTCTGTCGTAGCCTGAGCTGCTAGAAGAAGTTGCAGTGCTAAACATTGGTTAGCATGCACCATCAGAATATCCGATACGGTAACAAATGCACTCACGGGCGGGGTGCTGCATGCAGATACCCAATAGCGCTGACGCTGTTCAGTCTGTTTTTCAGCGCAGCAAAGGCCGAAGACTGCGGCAAAAGCATGAGAATTCCATACATGCATTTGTATAGGAACGGGTATTTTTCTGGTTCAAGCAGTTGCAAGCGAAGGTCTGTCATATCATGTTAGGCAAATAAGCACTGTCGGAAACTCGCTGGTCGTTTAAACATACAAGTGAAGACTGGAGACTCGATGAGCTGCACCAACTTGTCAACCTGAATAAGGATATTGACAGTCATGTCCAATTCGCCGCTTGCAAAATGAGTGAGCAGACAGAAAAGATAGTGTTCAGAGTGTAGACTTACAAAATCTGCAGCAAGTTATATGCCTGTTCATAGGCTTGCGCAAGCAAACAGAGCGAAAAGGTAGCGACTGCATTGTAGCACCAGGAACGGAATAAGGCAACAAAGAGAGTTTGGCCATCCTTTTTTATATCAATATTGTTCGCGTTGTCAACCAGTCATTGACGAAAACCATACCTTTGCTTCCAGATTACGCAGCCTCTTGCGCACTTCTGCAAGCTGTGGAGCGGTGATGAGATTGTTGTTAAGATTCTGAACCATGATGCTCGCAAATTCGACATCTTCTTCCTTCTCGATACAATCCGCGAGGGTTCGGTAGATCCTTTCCGGGCTGAGGCTGACGCAGAGCTGCCGAATGATGAGATTACCACGTACCTCCAAAAGCTTCCGGTCCGTGGAAAAGAGCTGCAGTAGATTGACCATAAAGTAGGCGAAATAGTCGTCTTCGCTGTGTCGAGAAATCTGTGACAGTAACTGCAAGTCTTTCGTGACGACGGCGTCGGATGGATCGGACAACGTCTTCAAAAGGGCCGGGAACGTGCCGTCATTGAAAGCCAGGACCTTCCTGGGGGCCTTCCTGTGCAGCATGATGAGCCACGTCAAAGAGGCGACTCGAGTAGCTTCGTGGTCATTTAGAAAAAGTAGAGTCAAAGAGTTGACAGCAGCAGCATAGTCCAAGTCGGGTTGAGCCTGCGGAATGCCTCCGATTTGCGCCGAAGAGGTCCGACTTTGCAACGGCGTGGGATTTTGGTCAGCATCACGGAAGTTGGACAAGGAAACCCTGTTACTTCCAATTGCCTCCTGCTTCTCGGGCTGCAAGTTTGGCTTAGAGCTGGAGAATCCCGGAGCTTGGAGGGCAGAATGCGGCGGGACAGACTCATCTGTGAGCGAGGCAACATAATCCATCAATGAGTTGTTCACTCTCGTAGCAGCTATCTGTACACGGTCTTTGGTGCTGGCCATGGCAGGCAGCATATGTGCCAGAATATTCGGCGTGAACAACAGAACTTCTTCCGGGCAAATGTCCAGAAGCTCCACAATCCATTTCAGGGCTTCCAAAAGACTGTCCTCTTCTGTTTCGAGAAAGTCAGCTATAAATGCTTCGAGCATAGTAAACGGCGAGCTTACCCAATGGTGACTCTAGAGCTTCAGTAAGTATCTCTAGAATCTCCTTGAAGTTGACTTCGACGTCTTGCCCGGGAATCCAGTCATCCTCGCAGCTTTCATCGGCGCCTTCGTCACTCATGTCGGTTTCCATCTCATCGCCCTCCTCTGGCTCCGGCCGGTAGCTCCCGCTATCAATTGATTCTTGTCGCTTCCTCTTTCCACCTTCACGAGACTTCTTGCTCTCGAGGATACCCTTTTTGACGTGCGAGATGCGCTTGATTTCACTCAGAAATTTGTTCAGGCAGGATTGAGTGGCGGTCCGCACATCGTTGTTTTGATCACACAGAAACTTCAGTAGGCCGGAGAGGAAGCGAGGAAGATATGTGACGAGCTCCAGGTCGGGGATCGAGTCGAGTAACGTGATCCAGCCAACTAGAAATAGGCGTGTGAATGGATTTGAAACCCAGATGCGCTCCTTCAGAAGGGGTATAAACCTGGGCAACGAAAATGCAGTCGGAAGGTGCGCATGCGGGTTCTCTAACTGGTCTTTGTCGTTTTCAATCTCTGGCGGTGCTTCAAGTACTGAAATATACGAGGCAGCAGACTCTGACACAATGTCTTTGACGAGTCGGTCGAGGAGTTCCGCTCCATTCTTGACAGAGAGTTCAGAATCGGCCCCAAGCTGGTGAAGAGACTGGTTAGAACGATGGCAGAAGACAGAGGACAAGCAGCGGAGTTCGTACTTTGCAAAGTTGATCGAATATGTTGTTAAAATATATCAAGATTTCCCCTTTGGCAACTTTGGCGATGTTGTACATGGCCTCACAGGCATAATATCTCACTCTCGCGTCCTGGTCGGTAAAGCAGGCCAATACAGGCGGCACGATTTTGGCCAAGTAGCGAGGAAGTTCCTAAATTGACGTTGGTTAGCGCCTTCATGTAGTCGTCGCGTCTTCGCTGCAGAGATGGCAAAAATGATTCCGTCATACCATTTCGGCCAGACATCAATGGAATCGAGAACAGTGCTGATACGGAAGGGCGATTGTTACGTACCGGGCCCAAGGCGATGGCGGCCGCCGCTAAGCCGATCAAGCCGCCATTCCTGGCATGCGGCTGGTGAACGGCATAGGCGAAGTCATTGCAGAGCTGCTCGAGTATGTCGTGGACTCTCTGGTAGTCTTTGCTGACCACGAATTCCCGAATTACCCTCTCAAGCCTGCGTTACATGGTTAGCATCGGGTGCAGAAACGTGAGAGCGCAGGGAGACGCGGGCAGGCATCGTACTCAAGCGCGCCGATTTTGCGCTTGTCATAGAGCTTATCGTTGAGCGCACGCTGGATGCTGGTGTCCATGATCTACGCTGCTTTGGTTGCTCGCTATGCAACAGGGAAGATGTGATGCGGGCGCCCTCTGCTGCATTTGATGCTTGTAACAAAAGTTTCGTGACCAGCTGCGCAGTGGTGAGTGACGCCACTGTAAACGCGGGTAGGTCACCTACCTGCCTAAAAATTACCAACGCGGCACGCGGACAGCTTTGAACCAGGGTCAGCCAACGCACGCTAACCAAACCAGCCCACGATGGCTACGACAGTTAAACAGCAAATCACATTATTGATAAATGCCAGGCAATAAATCCAGATTTAAAAATCCAAAGTCTATAGGCCTAGGTCTACTACTACATTCCAGGCTTGCGACAAGGTACCTCAGAGTGCTGCCTGTCATATGCCGTAGTATACAGACCGATCCCAGGCTGTCCGGTCAGTCGAAAATTCAAATATATGCATAAAACGCTTCGAAACATCATGTCATGGTGTCCACCGCGTCTAGCTAATGTGAGTGGCCGTAGAAATCGCCGCTCTGTACAATTGACTGCTGGCACTTTGAGAAGATGGCTGCCTGCTGCGAGACCTCCGCCAGTCGGCCAATAACTTGCTTATTTCCATCCGCAAACCCATAATAGGCATACGGGATGCCCACATCGCTACAAAACTCAATGACGAGCTTCTGCGCCTTTCGGAGATTGTGGCGCGGCATTCTGGGAAACATGTGATGAATGGCCTGGAACTGCAGGCCGCCATGGACAAAGTCCAGCCAAGGCGGACAGTCCACATCCATGGTGGTTCGCAGCATTCGCTGCGGGAATGATTCCTGCGGTCCCAGGTCGGCGGTACTCATGGCAAAGTGCGATAGAACGATCTGTACATGCAACGGTGAAGAAGCGATGTGGCTGATCATGACAAAGGTGAATCGCGACCATGCATCAGGGATAGATTTGTACACCATGAGGTACCCGAACCAGTACCAGAAAAACACTTGTCCAGCAATCTCTACCCAACGATGCCATGCAGAAATACCCTTCTTTGGCCCGAGGCCCGTGAAGAGAAATTGCCAGGATAAGACGTAGAGATTAAATCGACCAAGAGCGAGAAAAGGGTAGTATGTCCAAGCCTGGACCCGCAGTAGTATTTTCGCGGCAGCGTCGTAAGCCATTACTCTATCGTAAAATGTCGAGCGCAAACTGCCCAGAAGGCGGTGCGAGATGGCAAAGAGCGGCATGTGTTCGATATCAGGATCGTGCTCGGGGGCATTGGTCACAATGTGATGAACATTGTGATTGTTCTTCCACCAGCCCATGGAGAGGCCACCAATATAATCCGCAATCAAAATTCCGATCAGGGAATCGACCTGGTAATTGTGCGTGATGCCAATATGGCCAGCATCGTGAGCTGTAAAGACGAGTTGGTGCCACATCAGGCCCAAACACAAGCCGCTCAAGGCGTATTGCCTATACTTCAACAAGACCAACGAACCGGAGAGGAGTACCACATATCGGAAGCACTCTACGGCGTAGGCGGACTTGCTTGTAACCATGTAGCCCTCGTCAATCAATCGCTGATAGAGCGCTCGATACTTGGCAATAACATGAGCCTGTGTCTCAGAATCCGGCTGCGGGTACTTTTCCAAATCCAGGCTAATATGTTCACGCGTCAGAGTGTCAAGATATGAGATGCCATCCATCTCCCGATCAGCGCTGGAATGGGACGAGACCGAGGATGGTCGATCCTCGTTGGACCTTCTTCTGCGCTTGACTTTGGGCCCCTCGGCATCGAAGACGGGTGACGGTGGCCGGGATGATACACTTGAGTTTGATCCTTTGGAGCTAGTGAATCCGTCTTGCGATTCCTCCATTTCGTTGGCGGTTCGGAAAACGCCTCCTTGGATTGGTGGCCGGAAGTTCCGCCAAGGCGGTTGAATGCGGCCGACGCGGTATCGTTGCATTTGCTGGACCGCCTCCGGCGAATGCAAGCTACGATGAAAAGTTAGCGCATTTATCTTGAATACACTCCTCGACTAAAGAGAACACACGCTTTGACTTCATCGGTGGCATCTCTTCCCACCATGTGCATAATGGAGATTTCACCGCCGGGGTGGTACTTTAGCCAAGCATCGACCCTGAGGACAAAATCGTCAACTAGAATTATTTTTCGTCCGTCGGCTATCATTGCCTCGACCTCGTCTCGAGACATATAGGTCAGGGTTTCGACTTTGGTGCCGCCCTTGGCAGCCGCTGACTGCAGCGACTGCATGGTTCTGCTTCGCCTGGGGACCTTGAAGATGCGTTTGATCGAGCTTCCGTCAGTCGTTCTGGGGTGGGCTTTGTTGACCGCCAATGTCGTGGGAGACAGTGCAGAAAGAGAGCTTCACCCAAGAACAAAAAGGGACGCGGGATGCTAAATGGACGAACGCCACATACCTAGGTTACCTAGCGATGGGATTCTGTGTTGTTCGCCCCACTGAGCTGGGTCATGAACAGGGCGCGGGTGGATTGAACAGCGGGGCTTAAAGTTTGAGGGTACTAGACAGGTCGCCTTTTTAATAGATAATTTTTTCCCCTATCATAACGCTATCAAGGTCTCTAACACGGCTTAAAAAATATATAAGGGGTTTTTTTTACATATAACAGCAGCCTAACAGCGTTGTGACAGGGGAAAATTGTATGTTGAGCGGAAAACGTGTCTAGTGCCCCATCAGAAAACAGGCCTCACGCGCGTAGGTAGGTAGGTACGACCATAGAAAAGTCAAAAGCAAATCATGTGTCATCTGAACTGCTGCACTGCACTCTTGTCGTTCCCTCTTCACAGCGACTCTATCGCTGCGCAAAGCAGTAACCAACCATCTGCGGCAGCTTCGGAAAAGCGGGCAGGGATATACCCTAAAGCCTTGCAGATAATAGACTTTTCGTAGTTATTCGCAGAAGACATTGTGAGCTCAACGGGAGAAAGGATATCACAACTACTGGAAGGGAGCTCCGTACTTGGTATGTCAGATATATTACTAGGTAGTTTACAAAATTTCAACTTCGCTCTCCCTCTCAGAACACATTGCCGTTTCGCGTATCGAGAGGACAATGCCTAGCTTAAAGCAAGCTACCTTGGCAGCCTCCTCCAATTCGTTCTCTATGTTAGGTTTGACCATCAGCCCTATTGCTGACCTTCCGCCTTCACCTCGCACTTCACCCCGTGACTTAGATAGCTATACATCGGCATCAGGAGCTTAGAAGTGGATAGCCTTGGCATGAGTGGCCATGGCAGCCTCCTTGAAAGCTTCCGCCAGAGTAGGGTGAGCATGGCAAGTGCGAGCAATGTCTTCTGTCGAGGCGCCGTACTCGAGAGCAAGGGTACCCTCCGCAATCATCTCACCGGCATTAGGGCCAATAATGTGAACCCCAAGAAGACGATCAGTCTCGGGATCGGCAATCATCTTGACGATACCATCGGTGTCCAAGTTGGTTTTGGCACGAGAGTTGGCGCTAAAAGGGAATGTACCGACGCGGTAGGGAATACTCTGGGCTTTGAGGTCCTGCTCGGTCTGGCCAACCCAGGCGACTTCGGGGTGAGTGTACATGACAGAGGGAATGGCGCCGTAGTTGACATGGCCGTAACCCTTCTTGATGTATTCGACGACAGCGACAGCCTCCTCCTCGGCCTTGTGAGCTAGCATGGGACCAAAGGTGGCATCACCGACGCAACGGATGTGGGGGATCTTGGTGCGGTACTCCGAGTCGATGATGACACGGCCGCGCTCGTCAAGCTCCATGGCAATGTTCTCGAGGCCAAGGTTAGCGGTATATGGGCGGCGACCAATGGCAACCAGAACAACTTCAGCGTCCAGCTACATTACATGTCCATTAGTACATTGCAGGATTTGTGTCGATGAAGCGGAGAACTTACGGATTCAGGCTTACCACCCTTGGCAGAGTCAACCTCCAGCTTAACCTTCTCACTAGACGTGTCGCCGCTGATTACCTTGGTATTAAGCTTAAACTCGATGCCCTGCTTCTTCAGGAGCTTCAGAGTGGACTTGGCAATCTCGTTGTCCATCCCAGGGCCACCGATCTGGCCAAGGAACTCGACAACAGTAACTTTGGAGCCAAGACGGGACCAGACGGAAGCCATCTCCAAGCCAATGATACCACCACCAACAACGACTAGGGTTTCGGGGATCTTCTCGAGGGACAGGGCACCAGTGCTGGTGACAACGCGCTTCTCGTCAATCTCGAGGCCAGGGAAGGGAGTAGCCTCGGAACCGGTGGCAATGAGAATGTTCTTTCCGCGAACAGTGGCCTCGCCACCGTCGTTCAGGGCGACCTTGATTTCGTTTTCGTTGACAAAGGTGCCCTCGCCCTTGATGTATTCGACACCGTTCTTCTTCAGGAGGAACTCGACGCCCTTCGTAAGGCCATTCACAGCAGTGTCCTTGGCCTTCATGAAGTTGGCCAGGTTCAGTTTGACATCGCTGACCTCAATACCTCGGTGTCTGGTGTCGTGAAGGATCTGGTGGTAGAGATGCGAGTTGTTGAGGAGGGATTTTGAAGGAATGCAGCCGACGTTGAGGCAAGTACCGCCTAGAGTGCCACGCTTTTCGATGCAGGTAACCTATGCAGGAACAACCAATATCAGAGCAGTTCCGGATAACTCAGATCCCAAGAATACATACCTTCAGACCCTCCTGGCCAGCCTTGATAGCGGCGACATAGCCAGCAACACCACCTCCGATGATGACAAGATCTTTGTCTTCTGCGAGCCCGTTAGTAAAGGTGCCGTGTTTCGCCAACAATCGAATTCGACGAACCAGAGGCGGTGGCAAGACCACGGCTGAAGCGGTAGAGAGCGATGGGGGCGATGGCACTGTGAGCGTGGCTTTGTTAGTCAACGAGAGATTTTTCTTGGCCGCACTGCTGGAGCCATGGAGTTGCTCCATGCCAGTAAGGGGATTGGGTGCCAGACGTACGTAGACTGCTTAAAGGCAGCTGGGCGAACGGCAGCTCTAGATATTAAACGGCTAGAAAGCATCTTGGGCGGCAATGGCAGTGCTTCAAGCGATCAATTGGCGCCGGGTTGTGGATTATTGAAGGAGGTTTCGAAGTTGAGGGCCAGTTGCGCTGGAAGGAAACACGAGTAGGTGCCTTCCTGGTTCGGAGAGCACCCGGTCGGAAAAATCCTTCTGGAACGGGTTGGGGGTACCCCGCCACGTAAATTTGCCGGAGAGTTACATGGCGTTGGTAGCAAAACGTCCCACTTGCATGGGCAACGATTAGGGCGCCAATCCCCAACACAATGGGCAATGCCGCTTGGAGGCGGCCAGAATCGGGAGCGCTCGTCAGCTGGGAGCATCGCCTAGAGCCTATCGGCCGGTTATAAGAAAGCTAAAACGCGATATAAATGAGCAATGTAATGTTTTAAACATGCGAAGGGGCAAAATATATCATTTGTCATTCTATATACAAAATGACTCCGATTCGCGTCGTCCATGTCTACGCCACCTCGACCGCCTGAACCGCAGTCTGGGCCTTTTGCCTGACGCGTTCCATTTTCTTGGCCTCCTTTATCAGTTTCGATTTGCGGACCCTTTTACGCAAGAACCAATGCAGTCCCGCAGCTACGCCTGGCAATTGCCTCGCCGCGCCAAAGATCTTGTCTACTTTGACATCCTCATCGCCGCTTTTTCCTTTGCAGTACGTGAGCAGCTGCACCAGAAAACGCTCGACAAAGTCGGCCGTCCAGCTACTGACTTCGGGCAGGTCCAGAGGTTTGAGGATCGCAATGCCCAGAGAGCCGTCGGCAACTAGAGACGCGTAGAATCTGGCTACGTTCGCTAGTCGGCGCGGATCCTTCATTCGCTCGCTATCTGCCGTGTCATCGTCGTCGGCATCATCTCCAAACATGGATTCGCCGAGGCCGCGGAAGATTTTCCAGAGCCTATCCTGGAAAGCAAATCGAACTTTATTGTTAGAACAAGCTTGGTTTGCGACTAATGCGTAGAAATCGTTATATTCCGTTTCGCTGCCAACGCATTGGACCAGGACACGAGCAATCTCAAGCTGGTCGTCCCTTTTTAGCTTGAGATTAACAAACTGCCTGTACCCATGCTCAGAGCTGGTTGCAGACATGAGAGCCGTGAAGATGGCTATCTGAGCCATGCTGCTGAGTCCCTGTGAACGAGCCTTTTGTGGATAATCCGGGAGCACAAAGTCCATGTCTTCATCGTCTGTCATGGAATCCTCTGACTCCTGATCAACCTCTTTGATAGTCGAGCGCTTTGTTTTGACAGGCACACTGGCTCCAACGAGCCACCATTTTCCATCTGTATCGGCGCCTTCGATATCATGCAAGCTCATGCCCATGGGAGCTAATCCATCAAGTCTGCGAGATTGTGACTTCAGTTCGCCAATGCGTTTCTTCATGCGCACAACGTGCTCCGAGACAATAGCAGAGTCGAGACCTTTCGCCTTGGACTTGTTGTTCTTCAGGTCGTTTATTATTTCCACCATGAACTTGGTTCTCACAGACATATTCTCATATCCGCCCTTTGACATGTTGGTGTTTAGCACACTGGCGATGTGCTTTAGAGATTGCGCATCGTCCCTTCGCAGCATGCGACCTGCCATGCGGCAAACACGTAACAGAAGCTCAACGTTGAGCTCGGAGAGCTCGCCCAGAAATTTCTCCATGTAGTCGAAAATGATTCGGCAGCTGACAACCTCAAAGACGTAGAGCTGGGTCAAGAAATTGACCAAATTGGAGGCTTCCCGTCTTGTATTGGCATCACCACCAATTGCCTGACTGTAGTCCCGCGCGAGATCTTGAACAAGACGGCGGATCATATGGGAGCCAAAACTGGAGCCAACGATCTTGTACATTGCAGCAGTGAATCCACCAGTCAGTACGAAAAATTGGTCCGGAAGAAGCTCGGGCTTGTAAATCTGCGCCAGGATAGTATCGGTAATAACTTCTGTGACTTCTCCTCGAGCATTCTGTTGATAGATTTCATCGATAGATTGAACAATGGAGAGGATGTTGGCGTCAGTCAGCCGGTTGACTAGGCCCTGAATATTCTTCTGTAGCCTGGCCCTTTGCTCAGATTCCGTGTTGGTGGCCTTGCGGAGGGATGGGGGCACGTATTTTGCGACAACGTTTCCGGTAGTCGGTGCGACATATGGATTCTCTCTCTTGCGTGCATCCGGGGCCTTTTCCACTCCAGCAGAACCATCGGAGTCGAACCCTGCAAATGAGTCGTCATCAGGAATCATCTCCTCTTCGTCCACTCCTATTATGTCACCATCTGGCATGAGCAAGTCAGAATCATCCTCCGAATCATCGTTCTGATCGCTGTCGCCATGTTCATCATGCTGTTTTGCAGGCTTTATTCTTGGGGCCGTACCGGTTGCCGTTTTTCTTCTTTTCGAGGAGAGCCAGTCGTCGTAATCGCGCTTTCTCTTCTGCTCGTCGATGTCGCCATCAGACTCGGGATCTACTGCCTTGACGTCCCCTAGCAAATCCCCCAGTCCGTCCTCCGCGAAAGACTGTGGCAGAGACTTGCGCCCCTTCTTGATGCCTAGCATTCGCTCAAATGCTGCAATCTCGGCATCATCTTGGTCAAGCTTTTCTTTCATGGATTTTGAAATGTTTGTTCTTGAAATCGGCTCGTGATCAACGCTAATTCCGTCGTCTGGGTCGTCAAAGTCGTCACCGCTCTCTTCACTCTCGTCCAGGTTGACCACGTCAACCCCGCCGTCGCTCATGCTCTCAGAGACATCACCACCTGGCATTACACTGAATTCCTTCGCTGTGGGTTTTTGGGGGGGCGAAGTCTTTTGTTTCGTGGGAAGTTGGGCTCGTGGGTGTCTGTTGCCCTGAGTTCTTCTGTCTGCTCTTGCGGGTTGTCCACCATATACATTCGATTTCTTTTCGACCCTTAGACTCCTCCGCTGGTCTTTTCTTGTCAGTGGCCTCTTCCCACCTCTGGCTAGGGCCCGTTGCGACCTGGCAGGAGCTGGTGTGTCTATGCCAATCCTCCTGAAGAGCTTCTGCTGGAGCTCAGCGACCGAGTTAGACGCCATGGGAGCGTTTCGGGACTCGACTTCCCCTCGAAATATGGGCTTATATGGCGCAATGCAAAGAAGGAAAATTGCAGGCCCGAGCTCGCTGTAATTCGAGCCCGCGTCGTGGTGTGTAGAAATACTTGGTCTGGTAAACCTTTTCAACTTTCTTATCTTACTTATCAGTGCCTCGCTGGAAAATATTATGGGCGCTGGTTGGCCAAGAGTGCTAGCGCCTTCCAAAAGGTGCGGAGCTATAATGATGGCGCGGGGCACATTTTGCGCTTCGCTAATATTGCTCTCCACGCCACCGTTCAGTCACCATGGATGAGCAGCACTTGAGCCACGACCAAGTAAGTAAATCTCTTTACTCCCTTTCCCTGTAATGTATGTCATGTGCTGACTTCTGGCCACGTCTAGTTCTTTGAGAAGCTCAATGAGCTGTTTGGTGCCCGTAAAGGCAGCGATCACGGGGCCATATATCTCACGCAAAAACGACGTGAGCTCTCACATACAGCCATCGTACTCTATAAAAGGCAGCTTGTTAACACTTTTACAGTCACATATAACAGCGGCAGTATGTCGGTAGCGGCAGATGGTGACTTTGAGGATCGTCATCCCTCGAAGCCTATGCCTGTCATCGTCAGGGCTACAAACGGCAAATCCAAAAGAGCCAAGTCGAGCAAGATCAAACTGTCCACAGTGGTCCAACCACATGACCTAGAGTCGTTCTACCTTCGTTATGCAGAAGTTTGCAAGGCCGGCATGGCGGCGTTGAAACCCCGGGATCGCAGCAAGAATAAGGCCAAAGCCAAGGCAAAGAAGAAGAAGACAGCGGCGTAGCGTCTTTTTCTCATGCATAATACCAACCACTCGGATGATTTTTCGTGTCTTCACCGAAGAGGCTATTGCATTTCAAATTACTTGCCACGTGCATTCAGTTGAGCGTGGCAAACGGCGGCCGCCATAGTGATGAAATCTGCAACGACACGCAGTTGCATTCAACGCTGTCGCCATACTTGAGCAGTATAACAATGCTCAACATGATTTAATAGGCAGGTGCAGTTCTGCAGTCACAGTCTGTAATAGAAGGTCGTGACTTTCTCTTGTGGTTACCACGCCTAAAAGACCACATCATTTTTGTCTCGGCACCATACTGACCACGTTTTGGACGCGGATCAAATTTGTTGGTACCATGTAACAGAGCTCAGTAAAGATGAAGAGTAGCTTATCCTTGGAACAATAAAACAGTGGCGCGTATTCATACTATGAGTCAGTGCCATGTGTATTCATTTTGCAAATGCCATGTTGCTCGTCAACTGTTACAAGCAGTAGCTGTTGTCCTACTCCGGGGCTGCGGCTTCCCCGCCGTTATCTCATTCGTCTACAAGTCCGGTTCGTCCATTCTTCATAAATCAACCAGAACATAAGCACATCCGCAGTCGTACAGTCAGCTCGTTCAGCGTTGAGCTTCCAACCACATATCCGGACGTGCGATGCCTTTAAATGCAGCACTATCCATATCAGAGCATTCACCGTTCCAATCAAATCCTTCGAGTAAAGTAAGCACTGAAAATCATCCTACAATCTCAAATAGCCCCATATCGTCTCTGCAGATATAGGCTGTCTTCTCTACTTCTGCGAACCAGTTTTCCGTAATTCCAAGCACACAAAGAGGCTGCGTAGTTTCCCAAACAAGCAGGGGAATGGAATGAAAGTCTTGCCTCCCTTTATGATAAAGGGAACATGGCAGATGAGAGCTCAACCTAATTTCAAGTTTCAATCCCAATTCCAGATAACTTTACATCATCTGGTCCTGAGTTAAGCCGGCGTGAGGATCAGCTTCCATGGGCTCGCCAATCTGCTGGGTCACGTATTTGACAAAGCTCAGGTTGAGGGGGCGTCCACCATATTGGTATCCTTGAAACTTGGAGATGGCTGTCTCGGCAGTTTCGGCGGTGTCGAACTTGACCACGCCACTGCCACGCGAGCGGCCGCTTGGCTCATACTGGATTTCGGCTTGTTCGACCTTGCCTATAGTAGTGAACAGCTCGATGAGATCGTCGTTGCTAGTTGACCAGGGGAGCTAGTTTACCGTCAGCGCGATTCCAGCGTGTTTGATGATTCGATACATACGTTGCGGACATAGATGATTTCGCTGCGTTCGGTACCGGAGGTAGCATTATCCGTAAATGGGTTAGGCGCAGCGGCTGCCGAAGGGGGGCCATCAAAGCCACCAGGACCTCCGGCGAAGCCACCACGGCCGCCAAAGCCGCCTCCAAATCCTCCACGGCCTCCAAATCCTCCACGGCCACCGAATCCTCCGCCATAACCGCCACGCATTCCACCACCAAAACCGCCGCGGCCGCCGAAGCCCATGTTACCGGCTCCAGCAAAGCGGTCTTCGCGGACTTCAATGATGCGTCCTTGCCAGTCGTAGCCGTTGAACTGCTGAATGGCGCTGCGAGCGTCGTCGGGGCTTTCAAATACCACGATGCCAGAGCCCTTGGGGCGACCGTCGGGGCCAGAGTGAACATCCGCTCGGATAACACCACCGTTGCGAGCTAACACTCGGATCAGCTTCTGCAAAAGTAGCCATCTAAGTAACTAGGCCATGTTAAGTGAATCGAACTCACCTGCTTGTCTGAAAAGATCCTTAAGGTCTTGCCAGCCAATGTTGAAAGGGAGCTGTTTTCTACGTGTTAGCAAAAGCTGACAAGCTTTGTATGGTATAGCTCGGGGCAACAAACGTTGGCAACATAGATTTGACGACCAGCGCTACCAGCGCCGACTGGGCCGCCTGGGCCAGCGTGGCCGCCTGGGCCGCCAGCTCCAGGTCCGCCCGGGCCAGCATGGCCGTGGCCACCCCCGTATCCGGGGTTGAATCCGCCTGGGCCGCCGCCGCCATGCATATTGCCACCAACGAAACCGCCACGATTGTTGCCGCCACTAGATCCGATGAACCGGGGCTCAGCTTCGCGGTCCTGGGATATTAAGTTAGAGCCAAACTGATGGATAGTAGTGCATCGTGTTTATCTTACCTCGCGGACATATACAAGACGACCCATGAGATTCTGGTTGCTAAGCTGGGTAACAGCCGCTTGGGCTTGATCCCTGGTCGCATATTCCACAATTCTGATGTATCGGTCAGTATGTGTCGCCGTGATGGGTGAAGAAAGAAAAAGCTTACCCGCATCCCTACAAATCACCCAGGACAAAGTCCCTACCCGTCAATCCAAAACATCCAACAATAACGCCGAGAAAGGGAAGAAGATTCCAGGGAACACCGCCGGAGACGGTAGGAGAGGGAAAAGAAAACTATGCAATGAAGCCCACCTTCGACATTCCATTAGGAAGCAGCAATACGTCGGCAAAGAGAACATCTCCAGCTAAAACCCAATTAATTAGTCCCCGAGCGATTCCTCCTCACTCTCGAATTCCTCACCCTGTCTCATAAAATCCTTGAGATGATGCCACTTGACGTCGTACGAGAGGTTGCCCACGTAGACTCGGCGGTCTTGTTGGGACGATTCGCGCACGTTGGACATCATCTGCTCGCGGGCAGCAGCTCTGTCTTCGAATGAGCGCTGAGGAGGTTGGCCACCACTGAAGCCAGCGGGAGGGCCGCCGCCGGGAGCTCCTGTGCCGGTCATCGGGGAGCGATCGCGACCGCGTCGGTAGTCTTCTCGGCTGTTGGATCTGCTTCGTGGGGAGTAAGATCTGCGACGTCCTTGTCTGCCTGGACTTCTGGAGCGACGGCGAGGGGAGCGAGATCTCTCACGCTGCTTTTGCATTAGACATGGTTTGGATAGAGTATAAGATCTTTGGTATAACATGTGCACAGCGGTTGCCTGGGGTGGTAGTCTTTGGACCTAGCACAACAGCCATGTCATGTTGGAAGATCATGAGTTCGGGCGGGTGTACGAGGCTGCTTTGGTGTCGAGTAGTCCCACGGTCGATATGCAGATGCGCGCGGGCAGGCAGACACCCCAACGGCGCGGTAGACCACTAAAGAGCGACACCTAAAAACCAAGCCCGGGCTTAATGCGCATAAGGGGAGAGGGGCAAGGAAAACGACGCGTGACGGCGGCCACGACGGCAGGATAAAAAGCTAATCAAAAGGCCAGAGAGGTTCACTTACAGGACGGTAGGTGTCGCCGGAATCAGCTAGATAGAGATGTTAGGCAAGTCTGCAAAGTGAGAAGTGTGCGAGGTGCAAAAACGTGGGACATCAAGGTTGGGACGGTGGCGGAAGAAAGCGCGAGGCTCGGATGGTGGGGTGACGGAGGGAGGTGTAGGGCCGCGAACCACGGACACAAGTGTAAGACAGCGACGTCGTATGGTGGCCTATTGGTTTTGGCGAAGCTCGGTAGTTTGTCTAGGATGATTGGCAGAGGACAGAAGGACGGTATGTAACGAGGCAGTGATGTGCTATGGGATGCTGGCACAGAGAGCGCAGCGGCGCGAGGGGCGTGGAGTTACATGAGAAAAGAGAGACAAAGAAGAGGGGATATCGGTCTTGTACCAGCGAGTGGGAGGAGGGGAATCAATGTCAAGCCCACGGACAAGGGCCTCGGGCGGTAGAGCGAATGGTAGATTGAGTGAGAATAGTTGATGATGTGATGAAAGGGTTGAGAGAATAGGCCAACGAGACAGTCGATGGGAGCCGACGAGAGCAAAGACGGGAGTGGTGCAGGAGTGCGGAGAAGTGAACGTACCCATGGCAGAAAAATGCGAGCGTTGGAGTAGAGAAAAGGAAAGGACTGAGCCTGTGTTGGCGGTGGTGAAGAGTGAGTGGGTGTCTCAACAGATGGAGGGCGGCGCAAAGCAAAGCAAGCCAAAAGTGAAGAGCAGCGAGCGACGGTACGAAACGGGGGGGGGCAGGCAGGACACAAGCCACGACTGGTCAGCTCACGGACGGATCTCGCATAAGCGCAAAACCTAGGATGCAGGTTGTCGAAAGTGGCAGCAAAAAAAGAGGAGGGGGGTGGGAGCGCGAAGTTCGGTGGTGGCAGTTTTGCGTCGTGGGCGTATGTGGATGGAAGGATGGGACGAGACGCCAAAGAAGTTGGCTGTTTTGGCTGTTTGCCAGGGGGAAAAGTGCGACGAGATGGCAAGAGGGAGAATGCGCGTAGGATTGGATGAGGAGGAGGAGCAAGGGGGGGGCGAAATGGACGCAAGTGGCCAATAAGAGGGCTAGAACGGGGAGTTGGCGCTATTATCACATTATTGCCAGAGAAAGGAGCTGTAGGTACCTACCTACTACCTAGGTAGGTAGGTAGGTAGGTACTTGCTACGATGGCTTGTGTGTGGGTATTTGCATAATGTAATTTGTATATATATGGCGTTGTTTTTTGCTTTGGCACTGGGGTAAATTTAGTCATTATTATTGCACTTGCATTCCCTTCAACAATTTGTCGATTGACTTGTTGCAAATCTCGAGGCCCACACTAGTTGCGCGTGCCGGACATTGAAACATTGCTGTAGGATCTCGGCAGCTATCCGCACGCGTCTCTTTGCTCTAGTTATCTTGTGAACCAGGACTACCTAGTAGTTACCCATCACATATCTCAAAAGAAAAATCAAGGCATCAATTCTACATAGTAAGCCATGAACTTCGTCCATTCCAGCGTTTAATCTTCGCTCGCGAGCCACAGCTGTGACTGGCTGCGCGCCACGCCTCATAACTATCACATACCCCGTCCACTCGTCCATTGGCCACTACTAAGTTATTACATCGATCACTACTCGACACCTGCACACAAACCTACAATTTGAACGGCTTGGTGCAACTCCGAAAGATCGCCAGCGAGAAACCATTCACGGTCGGCCGGCTTCAGTCAATGCCAGACTACGATATTAAGACTAGTGAATAATTAATCGCCGCGGGTGTTCGCCCATCTCTCACGCCTTATTAATTACCCACAGCTTCAACGACGTTTGTTTGGTCTTCTCTAAAGCTAACTAATAGTACGCAACCTTGAATTGTTATACTTGAAGGCCGCTATGGGGGACATGAGCCTGGTGATCGCGGACCACCAGTGCCACCCACAACAAACTCAGGTTGCCCATCCCATCGGCCTTCCACGGTGTCAGCCTCGACTGAAAGAAAAATAAGCCTCCTCGCAGCCGATATGACAGCTTGACTGAAGCGGATTTTGTCGTGGGATATGTGACGGAAAACTAAGGCCACGCTCGTGTCCTGCCTAAAGTTAGGTACAGATTACCTAGGCAGCGTTGATCGCGCAACCAGATAATAGTTCCCCTCTCAGACCATGATAAGGATCAGACAGCGTGGCAAATTTTGCTTGCGTCTTGCAGACTCGCTAGTGTTTTATTTTGCGAATGGCGTCGCGGCATGGTGGCCCGGCGGGCGATATCTCACTGCTTGCCATCACTCGCGTCGTGGCAGCCACCAAGCTGAACGTGACGAGGGGCGGGTGCCAAGCAAGTCCGTTCCGGTTTGTGGGCATGTGGAACTTGTTCCAGCAGTGGGCTGCAAGTCTGCAACCGCTTATGGAGTACACGCGAACGAGCTATTACCAGTATGGGTTCTAGTTGCAACTTCTCGTGCGAGCTCTCAGTCGGCTATATCTCCATAGTTGTTTTACCAGGCACTGCCTTTCATCAATCACATGTGTCAAGAAGACCCCCCTGTCAAGGCAATCTACAGATTACAGAATTCCTTGGGCTGCCATATACAGATCCTTACGGAGTACCAAATCGCCCAAGGGCAGGATCCCAAGACAGCACGTAATGCATGCAGCTGGATTCCACCTACGGCCGGGTGGCTTCGCCATTTGTGACTATTGTGATGGGCTGCATTTCCGGTGGCAGATAACTAGTCTGGTGGGTGCGTTTGTTGAATAGATAGTTAACTAGACTTGCCAGGTACCCGTGGAAAACTCGCTTGGCAGAATACGAGGGAATCCAGTCCGTAGTGTGACTCTGAAACAGAGCTCCCTGTTCGTCCGCCCGGAGATCGTATCTGGATTGGGCTTTATCCTACGAGTTTGGCTTGATCTAGTTATGAAGCCCACCTTCAACCCGCATCTTGCATCAGGCCTCCGACCATAGCAGCTGTACCATGTTTACCGTTGACCATTATAGCAGCATGTCCATAACTAACGAGCGGCGATGGGCCAAGCGCTCGGCATTTATCCAATGCGCTACGTGGTTCCTTGCCCAGTTGGAGGTGCAGATAACTAGTTAAGTTGCTTGTTGCAATGTTGCGTTGCCTGCTGTGCGACTTGCAAGAGAGTGTGCATGGATGGTCCACCGCCCATGCCACCCTCAGCATGCGGCGGCATGCACTCACCCATAATTGGCCCACGTCGTGTTATGTCCCGCTGGAACCATTGGTTACGGCAGCCTATAGGTAAGTTGTCGCCAAAACCCATTTTGTATTGTTGTATCGGGGTTTACGCACTAGGCATACACCGAGAGCGTATGTAATTTTTTTTAGTATATTAATATTTCTATTTAAGTGCTTAGAGCCAGCCTAAGGAACCAATAAGTAAGCTAGCTAGCTAGCCATCTAGTAAGTAAGTAAGTAAGCTAGCTAGCTAGCTAGCAAGTAAGTAAGCTAGCAAGGAAGCTAGCAAGGAAGCTAGCTAGCGAGGAAGCTAGCTAGCTAGCTAGCTAGCTAGTAAGGAAGCTAGTAAGGAAGCCAGCTAGCTAGCTAGTAAGGAAGCTAGCAAGGAAGCTAGCCAGCCAGCGAGTAAGTAAGCTAGCAAGGAAGCTAGCCAGCAAGGAACCAATAAGTAAGCTAGCTAGCGAGGAAGTAGTAGGGCACTTATTATTAAAGAAGCTTACTAGCTACCTACCTAGGTAGCTCTTGCTGGCTGGCTGGCTTCCTTGCTGGCTGGCTTCCTTGCTGGCTGGCTGGCTTCCTCGCTGGCTGGCTGGCTTCCTCGTTAGCTTCCTTGCTGGCTTCCTTACTGGCTGGCTGGCTGGCTTCCTTGCTGGCTTCCTTACTGGCTGGCTTGCTAGCTGCTAACTGGCTATAAGGATAATATGTATCTAAAAAATATAACGACCCACTTGCGTACGCATTATTTCATATCTAACTACACACTGGGTGTGAATTGGGATTTGGCGACAACTCACCTATAGGCTGCCGTAATTGGTGGCTCTCACCAACCACCGCGGTGCAGCTGCGCGCTGTATACGTAGACACCGAGGTCCGTGTCGTGCTGGTGTGATCCAGGGTAGTGTGGTGACATCGTGGGTTGCAGAATCCCACGGGTGTGAAAGGTCGTTCAGTGTCGGGTTTCTCTGGGAGGGCAAGCCGTGGCCGATTTGAATTGAGAACATGCCATGTGATCTGCCCTGTCGTAGGGATCAGGCCTTAACTATTTGTCCACCACACCACCAATTGTGTCAACCAATTTGTGGCTTAGCGGTAGCAGAGACACAGGCGCGGATAGTCTCATGACCAGATATATTCCAATAGAATGGCTAACATAAAATCGTAGAGAATTAACTAGAGAATATACATACTCTCTATAATTTTATAACTCGTATATAATCAATAATCCATAGTCTAAGTTAGTATTATAATAATCACTAAAAACACATGGCTGAACGCCACACTGTGGCCATAGTCGTGCCGTTGACAATTAGTAAAAGGCCTGAGATGGAGGAGGTCCAAGAGGTCTAAGCAACCACAATGCAGAAGTGAACAACAAAACCACCCGTGCTCGCTATGAGCAGCAACATACTTGTGGTCACTCGAGACTGCTGCCAACATGTAACCGATGATAAGATCGAGGCTCGGCTGCCAGCAGTTGAATCTTGCCCACCTTGATATCGAAACCCCACTACTCCAAAAAAATAAGACCACACATCGTCCTAAGTCGTCCCGTTTTTCTCCCCTAGCTCATGACCGTCGATTGCGCTGTGTGAGTTTGCGCGCATCACCGAGACGACCACGACCACGCCAACGACCAATTCCACCACCTCGACAACCTCGACTCTCAACCACACCATCATGTTCATCACGGCGACTCGCGCGGCTGCGCGCCGCGCCGCGTCTCACTGCCGCGTTTCGTCCCGTCCATGCCGAAGCTACCACTCCTACGACCACCCAGCAGCCGAGGGCCCGTTTGGCGCTGCCGAAGAGGCCATCCTGTCCGCCGCCTACAAACACGTCCCCGAGCACGGCTTCTCGGCGCTCGCGCTCGGCCTCGGCGCGCGCGACGCTGGCTACCTCGACATTAGCCCTAGCATGCTCCCGGACAGCACCTTCAACCTGGTACGCTACCACCTGGTCATACAGCGACAGGGCCTCGCGGGCACTTCCCGGATCCTTTTCAAAGACCAACAGTCACTCGGACTAGGAGCAAGGGTCGCTGCCCTGACATGGGCGCGGCTGTTGGGGAATAAAGATATTGTACAGCACTGGCAAGAGGTACGATGCTGTCGGTGCAAATTCAAAGGGGAAGAAAACACAACTAACGCAAAGCAACATCACAGGCACTGGCAGTCATGGCGCAGCCGAGCCACGTCCCTGAATCCCTAAAAGAACTCGCACAGCTGTCCGACGAGATCTGGTTTCTCTCAGGCGATACTGCCGTCAACCCGTCCTGGTACTCGAAGCGTGCGACGCTGTCCATGATCTACACAACGACCGAACTGTTCATGACAAATGACCATTCACCCGGCTTCACTGAAACGAACAAGTTCCTTACCCGGAGGCTCGAGGAGGTCCAGTCCGCCGGCGGCGCTGTCGGTGCTGTCGGGCAGTGGACAGGGTTCACGTTCCAAGCGGCCATCAACGTTCTGCGAAGCAAGGGCGTAGGCATCTGAGGCAACTCCAAACAGTATCCGAATCACCATCATGTAAAATAGCTAATTAGACATCGTACACTCCTGTTATATAATACCAAATCAATCATCCACCATCTCGTGGTCTCTGAGTAGCCAATAACTCCTCTAAAGAAACCGAGCTCAAACGAAACGGCCGGACTAAATAAGAGTACGCTGTCGTGGATCCGTCAACCTGTGTAAAGTAGGGCGTCAGTCGAATCCTCGCGTTAACAAATGTCCAAGCACTCACCTGATGATCTTGACGTCCTTGTCAAGCTTGGCACGCCCCTCGATGGCGTTCGGGGTAATGAGTATATACTGTCGCGTCACAGAGCGACGAGCGGTATCGACCTATACATCGCCATTAGCTACCAACCCACGACCGACAAACAAGTTGGCAAAACTCACCAGCATATTTGTACTGATGGCTCGATTCACATTGTCCATGAAGACGTCAAACTCGTCCAGGCAGCGAATCGGGGATCCGATCGCTTCCCACACGGAGAGTAGCATGCAGATGGAAGAAAATGACTTCTCTCCACCCGACAACGTCTTCGTGTCTCGCCCCGCTGCGCTGGTCCTGGTTTCGTCTGGCTCGATGTGGATGACAACTTTGCGCTCCTTGTGCTGAAGATTGATCTTGCCGCGGAAGCCTCGCTCGCTGAGGAGATAGTTGAACTGGATGCGGATGCGAGCGCTGATCTGCCTCTGAAACCGGCGCCACAGATCAAGTCGCTGTGTGATAGCGCCCTTTAACGAATCAATCATGCGGTCCAGGTTGTCCGTCTCCTCCACAACAGTCTCGTAGTGTCTCTTGGCTTCGTTTGCTCTGTCAAAGATTTGTTGATCCGTCGCCCCGAGGCGTTTCTCCCGCATAGCAAGCTGATCTCCAATTTTCTGATACTTCTTCTCGATGCTTTCGTAGTTATCGCCCTCCGGAATATGCACCCTGTCAGGAGCAACCATAAGAGCTTGGCTGGTAAAATCAGCGACTTCTTCTGCCTTTTGATCCCGTCGTAGCTCCGCGCGTCGGCGCTCAGCTCTTTCGATATCAATCTGCTCGTAAGCTGCATTCTTTTTCGTGACGGCGATTCGTCTCATAGACTCCGTACTTTGTATCTTCATATCAGCCTTTTGAACGCGTTCCGAGACTTCTTCAGCTTCTCGTCGGACCCCTTCCAAGTCTCTCTTGGCAGCTTCCGCTTTTTTGTTGAGATCAGTCTTGGCCAGCTTCATATTGCCGTACTGACTACCGAGTTGCTCTTTTTCGTTTTGCTTCAGCTCCAAATCAGCACGAAGCGTGATGAGCCGATCGTCTGCGCCTTCAAATGCATCCAACTCTGTTAAGATTTGCTCCACGTCGGCCCGAACTCGGCGCAAATCAATCTCGATCTGTTTTTGGTTATTGCGATGCGAGTCTAGCTCCGTTTTGTATCTTTGAACCGCCTGTTGGGCAAGACGCTCCTCAGAATGCAGTTCTTTGAGTTCGGCTTCCAATTGCTTCAGGTTCTCCTTCTGGACGGCTAGCTGCCGCACAGAGTCTGACTGCATCCTGGGTCGCATTGTAGATGGAGTGACCGGGGCGGTCCCAATATTCCCATTTCGGTTCGTTAGTCTGAGGCCATGCCCTCGCTTGTTTTTGCCGTCGTGGAAGCACAGGCACGCCGTAACATTGCGGGGCGGGCCGCCTCCATCTACCATGGTGTTTTCGGCTTCTGCTCTGCTTTTCACAAGGATAATCTTCTCAATTTGGTTATTGATGACCAACTGAGTTCGAACTATATCTTCATCGAACTCCAGCACTCGAAGTATAGTGTCAAACTCAGCTGCAGGTTCCTGACTCTTCGTATCGATGTGCCCTCCATACGCAATGAAGATGGGTGGCCGACGTCTCATCCCGCTCCTCTGCATGAGCTCGGACAACTGAGACTGGTCATCTTTGCTCCGCACAACGAAAGCGTTCAGTGTTTCGCCGAAAGTTTTCTCCAAGACACCCGACCACTCTGGTTTCAGGAGCTTGACGTGTGCGCCAATCGGCCCGACAGGCTTCGTGCGAAATCCTTGATGATGACCGATAGACTTGACAAGGTTGGCTATTTCACTATCAAAGCCATCGTAAGCAGACCCGGTGCTCTTCTGAAGGTCAGACAGAATCCTCTCTGCCAGAATAATGTCGGCTCGTTTCGCACCTCGCAGTTTCTGCTGACGTTTGAAAGCGTCTTCAGCATCTCGCACCTTGCTTTCTACTTCTGGTAGCTGGTCGTCTGTATATTTCATTCTCTGACTGATGTCTCGCTCCTGAGCCTTGGCCTCTTCGAGCTGCGCATCTTTCTCAGCCCTGGCGGCTCCCGTAGACTCGCCGAGCCGCCTTTCTTCCTCCTCTATCTTCATTTCGAACTGTTGTATTTCTTCACCAATCGACTTTAAACGGGCATGGGCGTCGCGTTCTTCCACTTGTACATCAGCGAGTGCTTTCTTTGCCGCGTTGAACATGGTAAGCAACTCATTGACTTTGTCCTGAATGCCGTCATCTTCTTCATTCAGTTTCTCCTTTGCAGACTCGAGCTGTTGTAGCTTCTGTTCAGCCTCCTGAAGGGCTCTGCCCATATTCTCACATTCATTCTCAGCGTCCACAATGTGGGCGGTTCTGGTGGCAATGTTGTCATTGAGTTGTTCAAGAGCAATTTCCTGCTCTACGACCTGCCACCAAATAAGCTGGCATCTGTAATGCCTCGCTTTCTCGCGAAGACTCTGATTCTTTTGTGCAGTTTCTGCCAGACGAAGAGCGTTGTCCATTTCCTTTTTCACAAGGGCAACCTTTTCGTTGATATCGTCACGCAGATTCAGAGTCTTCTCCAGGGTGTCCTGGGACATCCTGTAGTCGTTGTCGAGCTGCTCCAGTTGTACACCAGAGACGAAATACTTGTACTTTTGGGATGGAGTTGCCGTGTTTAGGAACTGCCGGGCGTTGTCTTGAGAAAGTATGGTCAAAGGATTGCCCATTTGAAGTGCGAACCACTCAGATATCTCGTCGACTTCTTGTTTCTTTGTTGATACAAGTCTTTCGTCGGCCGTCTTGATTCTAAACCCACTGCTTCCGGTCTTGGAGAAGTGTCTCTCAACAATGATGCTGTCGCCATATATGTCGGGTTGATACGCATCGGATCCGGCATTTTTGAGTCGCACCACAAGTTTGCCTTGGTCTCGGCCCTCTTTGACGAAGGATTTCAGGCTGCCGCCACGATTAGTGTCACTGGCCTTTCCTCCTAAGCATAGAGTCAGTGCAGTTAAAACGGCGCTTTTGCCGCTGCCATTTTCCCCGACAATAAAGTTGATGAGAGGGCCAAGATCAACATGAAGTCTCTCGTGGCACATGAAATTGTAACATGTAATGCTCTCGATGATGCCACTCTCAGCGACGAGGTTGTCGCCTAAGCTGCTGCGCGGCCGTCGCAAGAGCTGCTGTGTTGCTCGTTCATCATCAAGTTCAAGGTTATCTAGATGCTTAAACCCAGCATCTCGCATGATCTCATATTGAGTCTGCGGCGGCGCGTCCACGTACTCCTCCTCGTCGGCCGAATCATCTTCAGACCCCCCATATGCGACGGTGTTCTCTCGGTCGGGCGTGTCTTCCGGATGGTTACCGTTTGCGAGTGATAGGCGTGCTCTTTTATTCTGTCAAAGACGCATATTAGATACGGTTTCTGGGTGCAAGCATGGGACGTTGGTCATACAGACTGGCTTCCTTGAGCCATTGACGAACTCGCTTGTTGAACATCTACAGCTTCGCGGTTCTCTCCAGCATCCGAAAGGGGACGGGTCCTTTTGGAGGGGGGCATGGCTGCCGTTGATGGGGGCAGCCACACAGTCGGATCTGTAGCGGACAGGCGAAGTGGTGATGTTATTGGTCGTGGCGACAGTCAGCATTGTTGCTACGAGAGGCTAGCTGTGTGGACGCGTTCCTCAGGCTCTGAGTCAACGCGCCTGCGCGGGTCTCGTAGTGGGGTACTGGAAAGCCCCGCTGTAAAGTTGAAGGGGAACAGTTTTGCGCTCTCAACTAACTGAGCATCGTCTGGAATTGAACATGGATGCGATCTTATACATTTCATCTATCGATAGGCGGACTGTATGAATCAGGGACACAATAATGGCCCACGCCAACCATAATGCCTCAGAGGGCGAACCCCACCAATTTGAACGCCAGCTCTCTGAAAACTCCATGGAATATATGATTTTCATTCTAGACGACAACTGTGAAGGTGTAAAATACCTCAATCGTCTAAATAGTATCGGTAAGGAAGCTACCCGATTGATGGACAGCGTTGCCACAAACTATGTTTGGCAACGAGATGAATTTCGACTCCAAGTTGTCAACGATCAAGGTGAGACAAGATCCAGAGACAGCCGCTTAGAGCAACAATCTGATAAAAGTATGTTAGGCTTGATATACCTGCACGGCACCACAGATTATGGAGATGCTGTGGAAGATGAGTGGCTGATTGTCTACGTACTACGCGAGCTCTCCAAAACCCACCCCGAACTATTCATCCGCGTCGCTGATGAGGATGGCGAATTTCTGTTGGTTGAAGCAGCCAATGCACTGCCAAACTGGCTCAACCCCGAAATAGACCACTGCAGAGTTTGGATACAAGGCGGGAAACTGAACATCATCCCCCTACGAAGCGACAAGACGCAGCCAGGCGCAGCCAAGTCGCTCACGCTAGCAGGCGCCGTAAATTGCTTGCGCACCGAGCCAAATGCCTTGATTCACTCGCCTTCCATTGAAGATGAGGCATTCTATCGACTTGACAAGTATCCCGCCCACGTGGACGATTCGATACATTACTCTACAGTGACAATTCCGCGAAAACTGGCCTACATTATACATGAGCTGCCGAAAACAATATCAGCTGCCGTTGAAGCTTTCTATCTCCGAGACCACGCTGGGATGAAGAAAACAGCCTCCGAGGTAGAGGAGCTACATCTACCTCCAACCGACCTGGTCACTGTTGGTGTCAGGTTTAGCAGAGTTTTATTTGCCCAACTGCGCTCACAACGCTTCGAAGCGCCCCGACACTGGCAGAATATCATGCAAAGCCACGTGGGAGAGGAAAAGGAGAAAGGAGGACCGAACAACATTCTGGCTCTCGACGACGGCATAAAACTCACCTGCGGGTATGAAATGTTGGCCCTGACAGCAGCGAAGAACAAGAGCCGTGCTGTTCGCGAACTTTCCATCATGCTACAAGACTCAAAATACGACGACGAAGAACTTCCAACAGATGAAGATATTGAAACGTGGCTGGACGTTAGACGGAATGATAATGAAGGGTGGCTTGACATCAACTATGAAGATTTCGAGCGCGAGTTGGAGGGAAAGGGAGCAAAATCGAACAACACAGGCAAGAAATATCCCGGATTCGGAGACGCTAGAACACAAGACCACCTGAGAAAAATTGTGTCTCGGTTTGACGCGTTTATGAACAATGAGACAGCTGGCCTGGATGGCGCTGAAATCAACGAGATGGACATGGACAATGACGACGACGACGATGACGACCTGGACCCAGACGAGGAGTCTGGCGAAAATAGCGACATGGAGGATAAGGAAGTGAGTTTCGATGAAGAAACCTTCTCTCGAATGATGAAGGAAATGATAGGACTACCAGTAGACAATCCCACCATGGCTTCCACGGGCCAGTATAGCAGAACAACGGCCCGCAGCATAAGAACGCAATCTACTAGTGCCGAGGACGAGGATATCAAGAACCTTGCCCTGCAAATGGAAGCCGAGCTCAAGCGTCACGGCGCGCTGCACCTAGATAGCCCCAAGTCTCAACAGAGCAAAGTCGACAGCAGCGGCGGCGGCGAATCTCGGGACAAGGTCAGCGGAAAAGGAAAGCAGCCCGCGACGGAAGCAGAGGACCGAGAGAGTGAAGACGAAGACTCTGAATTGGAGGTTAATATCGACTATAATTTGGCCAAGAACCTTTTGGAGAGCTTCAAGAGCCAAGGTGGCATGGCTGGCCCAACCGGAAACCTCCTAGGACTCATGGGAATCCAGCTGCCAAGAGACGAAGATGACGGTGAAAAAAGAGAATGAAAAAGACCGCCCCAGCTTGACGTCAATTTATTTCATTATAGAACTCATGCATGATTCCAATCTATATATGCTCTCACTCTAGCTGCCCAAACCAAGGTATCTTGCAAGTGCTGGCCCTCACGGACTCAACGTTTTATGTCTCTTGGACGAAGTCACTTCAAGACACCGACGACGTCTCTTAGATGTTTCGGCCTCGTCTAGTGCCTCGAGCTCCCGGACAGCTTCCACCAACGCCTTGCGCGCCCGTAGCTCTCTCGGGTCGCTGTCTACATCGCGCCGTATGTATTCGACGCTGATGGCGTTGAGGGCGTGGTAGATACGGTAGAGGTTCAGACGTATTTGCGCGTGCTGGCGCTTCTGGCACAGGCTCTCGGATACTTCATCCATGTCGTCCAACGTATCGGGCAAAGAAGTGCAAAAGCCGCGCAGCAGAGACTCGGACGGTGCTTGACAAAAAATAACGGACATCAGAGGATCACCGAAGACCGGCTTGATCCATTCTCGGAGGCCAGTTACCTTGACGGGGGTAGCTGCACTGCCCGAAGATTCGCTCTCAGACGAGTCCAACTCGTCGGCTGTAACGTTATCGCTCTCTGATGTACCGGGCTCATCGCTCTCTGCTTCTTGCATGGCAACAAGGACATTCTTATCCAAGCCGGCATCAACAAAGACTAGGCGTGGTTCAAGTACACCATCGAGGACATGAGTGAAGCGGTGGAGGAGTCTCCGTATGCTGTCGTAGGATGCTGTTATTTGATTTGCTTGCGCGTCCTGTATCGCGCTCTGCAACATGTGGCCGAATGCATCCGACCATTTCGTGAATGATTCGCTTGGGGCCTGGAGCGACGCTCGGCATTGTGCCGAACTTGACCTCTGGGGCGCTGGAGGCAGCATATTTTCTGCGTTTCCGAAGCGAGAGGCAGGAGAGCGCAGCAGGGACATGCCTCGAAGCATCTGCCCAATTTGAAAGTCGATCGACCTGCGTTCCGCGGCCGTCAAAGGAATAGCAAGCATCGACAGAAGTCTCCCTGGGCGCGGTAATATGACATTGTACTGTAGCGGGTGTAGTGAACCCGATACTCCATGGTCTAGAAGCTTGGGTAGATACTCTGAGATGGCATCCACGCGTATCCGATTTCTGGCTTCCTTCTTGTCTTCCTCAAAGTCGACGGTTTTGGATTTGGGCGAGTCCGACTCGGGCCGTCCCTTGCCAAGCCATGAGAGCCACTGCAGAACGGCCGCTTCGGATCGAATAGAGCCGTACTCGCACCTCAGAATTAGGCGATTCGGTGACGGTGGCAGCGAGCATTGTATGATGCCGCCATCTTGCGTCGTGGCACGGTATATGCGATGAAGACCAGCAGCCGCTGTGGCCTGGACGCTCTGTACTCGAGTTTTTGGAAGCGCGCCTAGTATCACCCTCTTTAGAGAGTCCTCGACCGTTGTCTCTTCCATGACAATGTGCTGAAGACGGCGGGAATTTGAGATTGAGAAAGTCGAACCAAGAACCAGACGAGGCCGCCCAGGGTACACAGAGTGAATAGTGTCGTATATTGGCTCGATATGAGAGCTGGCGGGCATTTTCACGCGTTGAAACTGAGCTGGTGAAGTTTAATAGTCAGTTGGTAGTGCACACAAGCCCAATAGGTTGATACTGCCAGTGTCGTCGGGTGTGGTAGGCTGCGAGATGTTGTGTTCGTCGAGGCTGAATTTGTCATTCATACAATTGGTGTCGTAGGATTTGCGGTGAGGATTCCCCGCGAGAACCTGTCTGTTATATTTTCACAGACAATAGCCCGCACAGCCGACTATGATTTGACTTTGAAAGACCCACGACAGAAAGCATAGATATTGGTGCGCAGCCGGGGTGAATTGCTAGACTGGCTGGGGCTGGAACAAAGCGACGGAGGAATAGCAGTTTGCAGCCGTCGATGCCGCTCGATTAGCCATTAATGTGGATTCCCAATTCACACACCCTGAGTAACCGAGCGACAGACTTATATGCTTGTCAATGGCAACTTCACCCAGCTAAGCCAAGGAACTATCCAAAGGCGGCCCGTCTACGGGCAGAGGGCTGGAAGCCAGGCTAGAAGCAGCCAAGCTGGAGCGAGTAACTAGCGAGCGGTCCAACTAGTCATCGCGGAATGCTCGCCGACTGATATATACAAACCAGGGCGCGGGACATCTCCGAGAAAGTAATAATATCAGATGACGGTGTTAGTGCATGCAGGCGATGTTGTTCTCCAGTGCGGAACAGAAGCCTTCCTTCCAAGTGTCTCGCCAAGTCCGTGCCGAAAGAGGCGGCGGTACAGGAAATTACTCGGCCGACAGGCAAAAGGTACCCCGACAGGCAAAAGGTACCCCGACAGGCAAAAGGTACCCCGACAGGCAAAAGGTACCCATCCTTCATTTCCAGACAATTTGCGGATGAGTCGATTAAGGGTCCCTTCCCGTGCCGGTGGACTATTGGTCACTGGCATGGTCACGAGCAAAGCGACATGCTCGTATGCCAATCGGCACTATAGTGAGTCGTATTGTTTTTCGCCCATCAGGCGGTGTAAATCTCGACAACTAGTGACACTGCAAGACACCGCACATACTGTGTCTCACAAGCATGTTTTGGCTCGAGGCAGTGAGTGCCTTGCCCGCCTTCTCAAGTCCTACAGGCTGTCAGGGGGAACGAGACACAGGGCGGATAACTCCAGACCGACAATAGTTACCCTGGTATCAGACCGTAGACGTGACATACCCAACTAACTAGAGGAAGACTCCGTTTCCTTGATTCTGCTGATACGTTAGTGAGGAATAGTTACCGTAGAATGCGGCTCGGTGCGAGGTGCAGAGTACGATGCGGAAGCGCACCAGTATCAGTTGGCGTCGATTCCATGTGGCTGTCGCAGAACACTCGAATGGAGTCCCTTGGTTCGAGCAAGCGAGCTGCCGCCACTACTATTGGTCGCAGTAAGCGAGAGCTGGAAGCCACCGTTCCGCTGTCCGAGTGGACTTTGCAAGGAGGGCAAATAGGACTTGCGAGTCATCAAGACTAGTCCCACAACGGGTTTCTCCAGAAGGTCAAAGCCTCTTCAAGTTAGTCACTTCCTGGCAAACAAAATGAATCATCGAATAAATTCCGTCATCGTTCGGGAATTTTGATCGTGAATTTGTGGCGGGAGGAACTTGAAACGCCCGTCATGCCGCAGACGCCACGGTTATCCATCAAATAACCACCTACAATATCCCGATCCTAGTCGTTCCTTCATGCGGTCAATTCTCACATTGTCACAGGGCCGGCCGTGGTAACTACTTCAACACGTTGCAGAAAACGTTTCTCTTGACCCATACACTGGTAGTGGAATCATGACATGTTGTATTTCATTAGTTACAATTGAGCTGCTCAGTTCGTATTCGATCAACGTCAGCGACTGATTCGCCACATGCCCAAGGAGGGGTAAGCCGTGCCGTCCTTCCTGCAGCTTCACCACCTAGATACGGGTTATCCTCTTTCCTTCAGCCATCATTCGGCCATCATGCATGTCCCTGGCTTACTGACTCTGTCACTGAAAAGGTCAAACCATGGCTGGCAAGGTGGGCCTGCAGCACCCGTCAGCAAAGAGCTGCCTGCATACATGACGTATTCGGTTGATACGGCTGCCCAATGCAACACACCATGAAAATCGACTACACCGTCTCCTCACTCGTCACCATTCGCTTTCTTTATCGATGATTTCTCGGCATCGCCTTGGGTTGCACCGCTCTTTTGCCTCGGAATCATTCCGTAGAGCGAGTTCATGTTGTAGCGCTTGAGCTCTTCCCACTGCGGCCCGTCGACGACGGAAACGCTGCAAAATAGCTGCAATAATTCAATTTGTATTAGTCAAGATGAACAGCCAATATGCGGTAATACCTCGTGCTACCTCGCAGCATGAGATACCGAGAGGCAGTTGTAATTGCATCAAGTACGTACCTGGAAAACCTCCACCAGGATGACTTTATCCGCATTCGACAAATTGACCTTGTGCTTCTTATCAACCAGATTGGCAATCTTTTTGATCACCTCATCCGACTTGAAGGTAGTGTGGTTGCGGATATTGTGTCGAATGGCGTACTGTGTGGGGGTACCAGATTAGCAAAAGCTAGACTGCGACCACCACCAAAAGGAAAAGCCTCGAGTCCTTACCGTAAAAGACTCTCCATCACTATTTGTAGTCTTTGGAGCTGCCACCTCTTCCGAGGGTACTTCGGCTGCGCTGTCCTCGCTCTCGGGAACGAGCTCAAAGTACGGCGCCAGCACTCGACGAGCGACCCTCTCGATACCCTTGTCCGACGCCTTGTCCGTGTTGAAGACTGGTGTGAGGCGGTTAATGTATCTGCACTTGCGCTCCCTGGGATTGAGGCACTTTCTGGCGTCTTCGCACATTTGTCTGACTAGAACATCAGGCTCGACTGGCTTCATCGTCTTCATGAAGAAGACACACTCAATGCTTGCATTGATGGGTCTAAAGATACCCGTTTTCGCGGACTTTTCGCGAGGTGCTTTCATAGCTGCCAGTTCTTTCTCAATCGAGGCTTCAATGTCCAGCTCCTCGTCTTCGTCCTTGGCGTTATCGTACTCATCAGCTGGTTTTGCGATACCATACAAGCTCTCTCCATACTGTCAATAATGTTTGTTAGTTGCCGCCTCGATTTTGTGTTGCCACACCAATTGTATCCGGTGATTTCACAGAAATCATCGCACCTCATTGCAAAGCTCAGTGAACTCTTTGAACGCCCTAGTGTTCATGCCTCTCGCATATGTGACCCATATACCCTCGTCGCCCACGTTCAGCGAGTTTCCCATCTCAATCCGTCCAGCAACTTTCGTTTTTTGCTGCGGTGTCTTCCACTTTCCAGCAGTGCTCCCCTGTGACCGAAAAAAATACGATATTAGCCAGCGAACCCAGTTGCAGGGTTAGCTCAAGTGATGCTCACTTTGCTCTTCTTGGTAGCTGGGCCAGCACCCGAGGGCCCCTGCTTTCGCTTATTGTGATTTTCGCCCATGTTGTAAGATATATGCAACCGTATACCCGCTCCAGATGAAACTCGTGCAAGGGCTGCTGTTACTAGCAATTCGAGAGGCGAGGTTGGAGTCGTCAAGTTTTTTTCTTTGGCGCGCCGTTTGGTGTGGATCCCCAGCTTAACCTTCAGTACCAACCGCTGAAAAATTATGTTGTGTATTGAACCGCACATTTTGCTCGTTTCCAATGTATCTCTTATTTTCTATCATGAGTTGCATATATATAATTCAAGTCTAAGTTAAGCAATATGCAATGTCCATTGACTCTTAGCTCTGCTCCGCGTTCGTCTTTGCACTTGCCTCCGCCGTCGTAATCAGAGCAGAGGGTGCGTCCTTCCTTGGCATGATTACTTCCACAAATTGAAGGCGGTCAGCCGATTTGAACGTCGAATCAGTCAAAAGATTGTCAAGTTCGGACTTTGTCTTGACGACATGTTTGGCACACGTTTTCGAGCCGCCCATGACATCAACAAGAGCGGTATAGTCCCAGCTATTGATATCGTTGTACTCCGCATCCATGCCGTGGATATACCTTTCAATCGTGTAGCCATCATTGTTTAGGAGAAATCTGCAAAACTGTTAGTAAATCGAGATATTCGGGAACAATGATGACTAACATAATAGGCTTAAGTTCGTGTCGAATCATGGTACTGAGCTCCTGAGCCGTGAGTTGGAATGATCCATCTCCAACAAATAAGATCGTTCGGCGCTTGCTTCCCATATCCTTCGCCGCCAGACAAGCTCCTTGAGCTGCACCAACAGACCAACCAATACTGCCCCAAAGAACCTGGCTGAGAGCGGTAACACCAGCTGGGAACTTGGAGCTCCAAATGCCAAAGTTTGAAGTGCCCGTCTCTGTCACGACAATATCATCCTTGGCAAAGAATTCACCCACGCGTGGCCAGAACCAGGCTTGAGAAATAGTAGGGGTTCCATCGTCATTTTCTGCCACTTGATTCTTGACGGCAGGAACTTGAGTTATGAAGAGTTGGCTGGGGTCTAGAGCGTCAATAAGTCTGCGAAGAACACCCTTCATCCGAGCGCCAGGATATGTCGAGTAGTGAATAATGCAATGATCGCTATGCAAGTCAATAACATTGAGTTTTGACGTGCGAAACGAGAAGCCCGCAGTGTTGAAATCACTCTGAACTGATGTCAGTCAAGAAGCCATGTATACTGACAGGGATATACACAGTACCTGCAATGTGCCGATCGACAGAATTAAATCGGACGACTCGACAGCTTTTTTGACACTGTATGGCCTAGAGCCTTCGCCAGCATACACACCACCGTAATTATGGTGATCCTCGTTAATTGCACTTTTGCCCATCGGCGTAACGAAGACGGGCAACTTGGTTTTGGCCAGTAGCTTGTGGACTTCCTCTAGAACGCGGTGACGGATTGCGCACGCATCAATCAAAAGGACCGGAGACTTTGCAGACTTGAGGTTTCTCAGAATGACATCCACAATATACGCCTCCTGTTCTGGATCATTGCTCGGTTCGGCAAGATCAATCGGCGTCTCGAGTCGTTGCCCCTCGACCTTTGCCGTCACCATGTCGCTCGGCAACATGATGTATACCGGTCGAGACCGAACAAAGCACTCGCGGATAGCATGGTCAATCGAAATAGCAGTATCCTGTGGGTCGTTGAGCTTCGCGACATTGCAAGAGATATTCGAGCTCATGTTTGCAAAGACATTGTAGTCGCCGTTGCCCAGGGTGTGATGGAGAAGCATGCCCTGCTTCTGAGAGTGGGTGGAGGGACATCCAACAATGTGAACCACGGGAATATGTTCCGAGTATGCTCCGGCGAGGCCGTTGATGGCAGAAAGCTCACCGACGCCAAAAGTTGTTACCAAGGCGCCGATTGTCTTAATCCGAGCGTAGCCATCAGCAGCATAAGCTGTAGAGCCTCCAGGTTAGCTAGAATCCATTGACGAGATAGAATCTTCATACGAACCTGCGTTCAATTCATTCACACTTCCGACCCATTTCAAACCTGCTTTCGGGAGGTAGTCGAGGGCAACCAAGTTGTAGTCACCGGGAACGCCATGGACAGAGCGAACGCCGACTTCATGCAGGCGACGAAACAAGTACTCGGCAACGTCAACCGGCTTTTTGAGGTTTCGCACTCTTATATCGGCCATAGTGCGAGGTTCCATGCCGCAGTTGAACTGTTTCAAGCACTAAGTAGTATTTGTGGAGCGGATTGATGTATGACGTCTCTCAGGTAGGTAGGTAGTCAATCCAAGCCTGCAGTGTTGCCGGTTGGGATACCAAGTTGAGAGGAGTTTATTGGTTTAAGTTGAGAGAGAAGTATGAGGTGTAAGAGATGTATAAGGAAGAACGCCTCTATTTCTAATCCAAGCAGCAACCACTTCAACACCCGTTCAGCTCCGAGCTCCGTAAATAGTGAGGCGACTAGTCTCGCCATTTGGCAAGGTGGCGCCACAATAGCTTCGCCGCCCCCCACTGAAGACGGTTCGGCCGGAAGCGATTGTTAAGTTAACAACAGGAAATGAGCCGTATTTGAAAAGGAGGAAAAAAGCTGTTGACTTCTACTTGGCAAAATGTTGCTAGTCTGGTAATGCTGAGTGAAGAAGTTCTGCCCCCCTGTCATGTCAAGCGCGCATACCAATTCAACCATCATCATGCAACTAACGTAGAGCTTACATAGCATCGTCCAACCAACCCGCATCCAACCCGTGAACACGCCGTCTACCCAGAACGCTGCCCCAAGTACATAGTATACACATATCGTAAAATTGCGTCCTCTGCATCGATTAATCGCATCGGCCGTCCTTGGGCCCCGTCTTCCACCGCTCCAGCCACCTAGAGCAGTCAAACACCTCTTTGCCGAGCTTGCGGTTGACGTCGTTGTGCGCGCCGCACAGCCACTGCCCAAAGTCGTCGCGGCTCGCCACCTTGGGCACGCGCCGGGCCATGTATGCCTGGAAGTCGTCGGCGCACACCCAGCACGGGTACAGCTTCGCAAACAGGTCCACGAAGCGCAGCATGTCGGCCTGCTGCGTCCGCGACGGCGTGTCCGGGTATGTCGCTGCAATGGTGTGCAGCAGTGTCCACGAGCTGCGGCCCAGAATCTCCACGTCGGGCGGGCAGTCGGCGCGAGAGTCGGGGGCGGGTTCGGTCGTGGCCATGGTCTTCGTGGTCGGTGCCGCTGTGGTGGTTTTGTCGCTCTTGACTTTGTGCTTAGTTTGCGCCGCCCACGCGGAAAACGCGGCACCAGATGTACATGATCGGCAGCTGGGAGGGAAAAACTCTTTAGCTGGAGCAGTTCGCGTTACTGACGTGGAAGGTATATTACTCACGGCTTGCCGTCTTTGTCTAGAACAACGCCCTTTGGAAACACGGGTGGTCCGGCACCCACTGGCGCAGCCCCGACAGCGTCCTCTCTCGTGTCCTCCGCCATTTTGGTCACTGTCGCTCTTCAAGAGAATGCGATATCGCACAACAGAAGCTTCGCTAAGCAACCGAATTGTAGGTGTGTGTTTCAAAGTCCAAGTGGTGCTGGTGCAAATTATTGTTCGAGGCGGCTATGAACTTGCGCCCCACAAACTTCACAAGCTTAAAGTGCATTGTATTACTGGATGACATTCTGATGACGCTACAGACAAGGTAAAATATCCAAATAATCACTAGTTTGTATAAAAAGCTATTGTTTCTTGATTTTGCCCAGGTCCTGAATAATTATTATCTCGGTAAGATCGAGAGCGTCTGCCTCAGACTATTCTTGATAAGACCCACCCGCTTGGCTATGTCCCTCCGTACTTCAACGCCGGCCTCACATTTGCGTCTTTCAGTCTGTTTTTCTAGCCAGGGATCGATTGGCGTCCTCTACTCTAAAACCAGACACAAGAAATCGGGCGGAGCCGTCAAGACATCCGGAGAAATGGAAGGCCTGTCGGCTGAAGAACAGCCACCCGTACCTGTGCTTCTCCTTAAGACGCAGTCCGCACCCGGCGACTCATACCATGACCAGCTCACAGCCGCGCGGCTACCCAACGGGCGCCGCCTCGCCCCCATCTTCGTCCCCGTGATGCTGCACCAATTCGATGACGCCGGGCTGACCCTGCTGCGCGGCTTGCTGCGCGACCAAAAAATCAGCCGCCACCCCGACGCCGCCTACGGGGGCCTCATCTTTACATCGCAGCGCGCCGTCGAGGCCTTTACCCACGCCGTCAACACCGGGCAGTCCTCGTCGCATCTCGCTGACTTCCCCATCTACAGCGTCGGACCGGCCACGACGCGGGCACTGCGCGCTGTGCGCCAGGATTCCCTGCTACAGGTCTCGGGCGAGCACACGGGCACTGGCGAGGCGCTCGCACACTACATTCTGGACGACTATGGCGCGCGGTACGCCGGCTGCCCAACAAAACCGCCGTTGTTATTCCTCGTTGGCGAGCAGCGTCGCGACATCATCCCCCGGACGCTCATGGATCCCGTGCTGGCGGCGGACCGCCGCATCGAAGTGACGGAGAGGGTCATTTACGGGACCGGTGTCATGGAGTCGTTTCCGGCAGACTTTGGTAGGCGGCTCGAGGAGGCGGCGGCGATACCCCGCGTGCCCTCGGTGCTGCCGTCGCGGTGGGTGGTCGTCTTCTCGCCAACGGGGTGTGATAGCATGCTACGCGGACTAGGGTTGCTGGACGAGGCGGGCAAGGTTGCTCCTGGCCGGCGAGATGGCACGACGTTTATTGCTACCATTGGACCTACGACGAGGGACTTTCTCATTGACACGTTTGGCTTTCACCCAGACGTGTGCGCGGCGAAACCAAGCCCAGAGGGCGTCCTAGAGGGCATAGCAGAATTCGAAGCACAGTTGATATCTTAATGAATGCTTACCATTCTGTACATCTTTCATGTCTTTTTGATTTCTAACCAGCCCCCGACTAGAGTGAAGATATTTCTCGTGCCCATCAAAACCAGGTTACGTTACGTTTAGCCGCAGATTTTGTTCATTCAAAATTCCGCCAAGGTATATATGGTAGTGATTCTTTCTTTCAAATAAGTGAAAACGCCGTCAACACCAAATCAAACGTCCAGTCCAAAACAACAATCCCCTCTCTACTCGTTACGCGCCGAGGACCCAGAGCTCCACGCCCACAACACTAAACTTGTGGCCGACGTCGCTCAACGGCTCATTGCCGAATGTCTCGCACAGGGCGCTGTGGCCGATGTCGAGCGAGTCGTCTAGCCAGAGGCCGTAGTGGCCGCCGCCCGAGCCGACGCTCAGGTACCCGGTCTCGCAGTGCATGTAGAAGTCGTTAAGGCCGCTGTACGGAAAGGCCTTGAAGCGAATCGTCTCGAGGGAGCCGGGCGTCGAGGCGCCGGAGCGGCGTGATGATGGCGGCGGCACCGGCCCGGCCGCCAGTGTCGTGCTGCGTGTCATGTGCGTCGTGTCGGCCGAAGGCGGCGGCGGCAGCGACACCAGCGTCGACGCGCGCCACAGGAAGCACTCGCCGTTGCCAAAGTACGACGGCGACGGGTGCGGATACTCGGAGAGGTATGCTCCAAAGGTCTAGTTTTGGTAGCCCAATCGTTAACCTCTCCCTAAACCAAAGGGAAAGGAAAGAAACAAAACGACACTTACCCCGCCTTCCTGATCCTGCACAACCAGGACAAAACCCACGCGCCGCCCTTCATACGACTTGCACTTTTGGTACAGCGTGCTCAGGCTCGACCCGTCCTGCTCGAGGCTGTATACGAGGTGCCAGTCCTCGGTGATGCGTAGCCGCTCGGGCACCATGGTGCGAATCTCCTCGGCGACGGCGTGGCTCAGCAGTCGCGAGTTGGCCGGCGTGCTGTCCTTGTAGCCGCGCAGGACGATGGGGTCGAGCGGCGGGGGGCGGAACGGGCTGGCCGTGGGCCGCAGCGGGTTGAAGACGTCGTGCACGCCGTCCTTGTGGCGTGGTGGGAAGCCATGGCCGTCTTGGCTCTGGTGGACGTCGGTGTCTTCACTAGAGAATCGCCGTATTATGCCAAACATGATTGTATGCTGATGGAGTATATGTATATGTGTAGGAAAGTTCTGCGTATATGTGTCGTCTTTGGGTCGAGGTCAGACGAACACAGGCGATGACGTTGACGTGATGGGAGCACTATCGCTGAGGAGATTGACTTGTGAGCGGCCGTCTTGAGCAGAATATAAGGCGATGTTGGCCTGCGACCGTCATCTGTATGCTGGCACAAGAAAATCTGCACAAGGGAGTTGGCGAAAATCAGGAATTCGGCTCCGTTTATCAATTCGTCCAAGCCTGTCATGGACGGATAACTGTCGCCAGGGTGGGGCCTGGATGGTTTGATCTCGGCGGGGTTGTCCTCCCGTCGATTCGCCCCTCCGCAACAGCGACCCTGAGCACACGAGTTGAGCAAGACCAGAGGGGATAGGATATTTGACCTTGAAATATTATGACTGAAACTAGAAAGATTCTTGACTATAAAAGGGAAGCCAAGACCAATGCTCAAACTATCAAATTGGAAAGGAAAAGTCCATCATGCCGTCTCTTCATGCTTGCGTATGGCACTCTGTAAATCATCCAAATTGGTGTATATCTCGCTTCTTTCTCCTTGCAACCACTAGACATGTGAATTTTGTTGACGTGCAGCGTTTCAAGTTGGCACAAGGCACTGCAATTCTGCGAGCGACTCAAGGTCCTGCCTGACGGGCCTGGCTCTCCTCAGCCCTGAATCTGCGCGAGTGTTGCAAATAGCTAAATGATCATCTCAACAAAGTCAACAGTTTATCGCATAATCTCCTGGTAGATGAGCTCCTTCAGCTGCTCCTTGCTCAGACTATCCTTGTGCTTGTCAAAGTCAAAGAACTCCTCGGGAATGGGAGGGGCAGTCGGCTCGTCATTGGGGTCGTGGTAGGGGTTGAGGTATGGATGTTTGAGAGCCTCCTCAACCGTGATGCGCTTCACCGGGTTGAAGGCGAGAAGCTTCTCTAGCAGATCAAGAGCCAGATCAGAGGTCTTCGGGAATAGCGTGCGGAAGGGAACCTTCTTCTTGAAGGGCAGAGAGCGAATGTACTCGCGAGCGCGGCGAGACTTGATTCCGTAGTAGTCTTCCATTGTGGGAGTACCAAGAACGTCGAGAATCAAAGTCAACTGGTGGTGATCTGCAAACAGGTCAGTTTTCTAGTACAAGGTCACGAGAAATTCAACAACGTACAATCCTTGCCAGGAAACAGAGGCTTTCCGCTCAACATTTCGGCAAGAATGCAGCCCACGGACCAAACGTCGATGGCCTTGGTGTACTCCTTGAATGTCAACATGATTTCCGGCGCACGATACCAGCGAGTAGCGACATATTCAGTCATGAACCCAGAATTGTCCTCTTGAGAGGCGGCGGATCTGGCCAGACCAAAATCGCAGACCTTGAGATCGCAGTTGGCGTTCAAGAGGAGGTTAGAGGGCTTGAGATCTCTGTGTAGCACATTGGCGGAGTGCATGGCCTTGAGCGCTCGAAGCGTCTGGTAGATGAAGTATTGGCAGTGGTCGTCGGAAAGGTCCTGGGTGCGAATGACTCTGTGCATATCGGTCTCCATGAGCTCCTACTGTGGTGTTAGCGTCCGATACATAGTCGGTTGCCGTTGCCATCTGAGAGGCGTTCAACGGCGGCGGTAAATTAGGCTGACTTGGATGAGATAGACTTCGTTGAACGAGTCAAAACCCCTGGGCTTCTGGATATCCAGAATGGAAATAATATTCTCATGGTTAAAGTATCGAAGAAGTTTCATTTCGCGAAGAGTTCGTAGGCAGAACATGGAATGATCAAATGGCGTAATCTTCTTGATGGCCACTCTTTGTTTGGATGGCTTGTGGGTGGCGGAGCTACAAAAGCTCGCCGTTAGCAGCGACAGTTATGGCGGAAGCAGGACACATTGCTCACCAGACAACGCCATAAGCGCCCTCACCAACGACATCCTGGATATCATACTGCTCGCTGACGTTGAAGGAAATTTTGCGCGACGCCGTCGCGTTATTGGGAGGGTTTGCGCGGGACATGATGGATGGCGGGGTAGCGCAATCGATCAAGAGGCCGGCCAAGATGTGACTTTTTCTGCCTTTGGAGGACCGAACTTGTAATTTTCTCGCAATAAACAGATATGGACAAAGATTCGATAAAGTATCCGGGGCCGAAAGGCGTCTCGAGTCGGTCAAAAAGGTGCAGGCGCCAGGACAAGGACTTGGAAAGACGTCGATGAGGGAAAGCCGAGCTCTGTGGAGGGGTTTATTTCACTAATGAATGGGCCACAAGTTCCCCGCTCGGGCCTCGTGTTGCGGAGGGACGGACAGGTGCTTCGTGCAGACCCAGAGGTAACTACTAATCGCCCGACGTGAACAGACGTGCTCGAATCAGTAGGTTGCCCGAGTAGTACCCAAGGTCGCTGGCGGGATATGTCTGAGCTTCGTCTGTCAAGGACACTTGTTTTATAACCCTTTTTTTCTCCTTTTTGTGCTTTGCGCTTCCGTGCAAGTATTGTTTCGAGAGAGCGGCACGGCGTAGGGTTACTCCACCCACTAGATCAAACTGTAGCGTCGGGAGGCAGCGGGTTAGCTCGAGTTATGCAGATGCAACAAGCCAAAAGGGAGAAGGGAAGAAAAAGGAGAAAAGAAACGCCAACGACAGGTAGGCATCAACGTTCGTTTTTGTACGCCTCCCCAGGCGCTAGCCCGAGCCTTGCAACGCATCTGGCAAAGTGGCCAGGGACATCCGGGCGACGAGCCTGGGGCCCAGGCACAACGGCGCAACCTGAGTCGTTGTGTGGATAAGACAGCGCGACAGATACGTTAGGTACTAAGGTAGTTACCTGACAGGGCCCGTCCCGCTCTCCAGCGTAGCTTGACACAGAAAGGCCCCTCGGCAGGTTCCAGCCACACACTTGTTTGGCGCTGCAATAACGGTGGTGGTTGCGCCAGGCTTGGTCTAACTACCTAGGGGCGCAGGGCTGTTTTCTGAGATGGCTTGAGCAGGATTTTAAATCTTAACATATTTTTTTGGCATATTAGCGCCATTTTATAATTTTAAACATATTGTAGAGGGCTCCTAACATGTTGTAAACAGGCTAACATCTCTGCATAAGGCTAAAAACATATATACAAACGCAGGCTAGTCATTATAGGCATCGCAGAAAACACCCCCCGCTCGCGTAGGTACTATTAGGTATCTACCTGGTAACCTTAGTACCTACGCGCGTAAGGCCGTTTTTGACAGGGCGCTGGACACATTCTCTATCCAACATGTAATTTTCCCCTAACTCACAACGCTATCAACGTATCTAACACGGCTTATAAAAAAATTCAGGGGTTTTTATATATAATAATAGCCTAATAGCATTATAATAGGGGAAAATTAGCTATTAAAAAAGAGACTTATCTAATACCCTATCTAAAAATAGGCCTTACTTATATATATTTATAAGTACCTACCTATATATATAAGGCCTATTTTCTAATAAGGTACTAGATATATTTTTTCTACTTAATATATTTTTCCTATTATAATACTATTAATATATCTAATATAGCTTATAAGAAATATAAAGGGTTTTTAATATATAATAGTAGCCTAATAGTATTATAATAGGGGAAAAATATATTAAAAAAGAGACCTGTCTAGTACCCTATCTAAAAATAGGCCTTACTCGCGTATGTACCCAAGTACTTACGTGCTTAACAGGCTGTGGTGGGTCGCCCGGGCTCGGTGCAACCAGTTTTGGCGGACTGAATCGGGGACAAGCCAGGCACCCTCCAGCGCCAAAGCTTTGTCCTCGAAACGCGGGGGTCCCTGTTTGAGAAGACGGCCAGCTACTTGTTAGGCCCCTCAATTTCACGCCGCTCAATGCAATACTTGCGTGTATCCGAGGGAGCGAGCTAGGCACGGTCGGGCACCCGGGGCGTTTGTGCATAGTCGAGCATGACGAGTAGGGATAAGCGGCACGGTATAGCCGCCGGCGCAAAGAGGAAAAAGGGATAAAAAGAGAGGATAAGAATCCAATCGGCCACGACTTGGCAGGCATGATGTGCACCATCTCTCGCGCCTGAGGAAAACGAAGAAGAACATACATTTTGCTGGATCAGTAGGCACAGATATGACAAAATCGGAGAGGATGAATCTCGAGAGCAGCGCGTACAATCAGCGAACCCAGGTCTTGAGTCAGCTTCGCGCAGAGGTTCACACAGAGGTGAATGAGAGCGGCCCCGTGGAAGCTTTATCATAAATGCAGAAAGACTGTGCCGCCACTCGCTGGAATCCAGTGTACTGATTCCGCCGAGCGGCTGCTAGTCACCTAAGGTAGGTACCTTAGTAGGTACCTGGTACCAGGTAGGTACTTTAGTATGTTAGTACCCAGGTACCAATCTACAGGGAAGGTACATTGCACGTAGCGAAGTTGCACGCCTAGAGCTGCGTCTCGCCAGCGTCGTACCAACGTAGTGCAATGGTATTTCCACGGCTCGGGGCGCGACTTGTCAAAACTGGGCCGGATACGGAATACATAGAACCTCTTTCTTTCAATGCCCCCTCTTTCATCCAAACTTGTCCTCTCGGTGAGACAGGGCGCAGATTCATCGCTGCACTCCTGGAGCTTATGTGCCATTGGCGAGGGAGCTCAAACCACCGGACATCGTACCAATAAGTTATGACAAACTGACCTCCCACAGATAGACCACTGCCTAGGTAGGTACCTAGGTACCTACCTATGTAGGTTCCTACCTGTTATTAGGGACGCTGACATCATATGCGGCCCGCAATGCCCTACGAAAACCATCTACATCTTCACTCGTCAGCACACCAACCAGCGCACTTCCATTGCTCCGGAGCCCCTTCCTGTCCACTCCCAAAGATAGTCCAGACCGATCCTGTCATCCTCGTTGCTTGCATCAATCCCGTCTCTTGGTCCACTCCCCCTCCTCACCCCAAGGCGGCAATACCGCCCACATCGCGTGTTACAGAGGCGAAGCTCCATAGGCGACGCGTTTCACCCAAGCTAGGTCTTGGACGGGCAGGAAGCTTCCCAAATCAATATTTTACGCTGTTGTGCTGCGCACGCTCATCCGCCATCCTCGCCTATCTGGCAACATGCGAGCTTGTACAAGCACATAAAACAAATGAACGCAAAAGCAGGTATCAACCAATACCCGCCAACCCAACGTTACTAGCTAACTTGTATGGTAATCTCCATCTCGGTAGCGCTCGCTCCACTCGCATCACCAATTTTAGCCCGGGCGCGTAATCGAAGCCTTTATTGGTCACAATGCTCAGCACTCGCATACTTGTTGGAGGGACGGACGCTCCTCTCAATGTAGAAAGAAGATGACTCTCATTCTACTTTATGTACGGCCCACGTGCTCGCCAGCCAATGAGACTGCAATATTTAAGTTTAGAAATCTGCTATCTACAAGGAATAGTACCGCCTCCTCCAACTATCACATCTCCATCTACGGGTTATAGATGTTCCACAGACTGATAATAAAGGTTGAATTGATCTAATATATATTCACTTTTCCCCCGCCTCGTCCATCTTCAGCCAAAAGTTATCATGCGCCTCTTGCTACCCTCTTCATTGATCATGGCTGCCGTCTTGAATCTACAACTGCGCCTCTTGCTGCAAACCCTTTTCCTTGACTGAAATGGCCACCGGACGCACCGGCGAATAGAATTACTGCACAACCTGGATAATTGGAATCGTTAGCTCAAAATTTTGCAATATACGTCAAGTCTCATGGGTGCCGACGTACCTTCTCTCGCAAAATACCCAGCCATTGGGCAGCGCTGACGCTCTGGTCTGCGCGGTCCTCTACCAACAGCGTTTGAGCCCACAGCTTTAGGCTGGGCTCACCGTCTTCACGCACAATGTACAGGTGGGGCACCGTGATGCTTCCAACCCCGAGAGAGCGGTGATCTCTGCTCTTTTGGACAACGGCACGAACTCTCTCGTTGAAGTCTCCCTCAAGCTCGGGTACGCGCCCCTTCCCCACATGAATATTCGTACGGTCCTCGACGCCAAACACATCGGCAACAAGCTGGGGAACGGCATCACGGCCGACCCAGAGGAATTGCGTCTGCCCATCGTCAATCAGGTACAGGCCGTGGGGGGCCAGTCTCTCGGAACTGAGGTTCTGTGGAGGTGGCAGCGCAATCTGTCCAATTTCGCCATCAGTAACACCAGCACTGTCAGGCATATCGTGCAGTGAATACATGCGGGGGTAAATGTATCGCATCAGAAGAGGCACAGGAAGGGTGGAGAGCAGGCACAGCGCCGCAGATCGGATATCTGTGGGAATCTGTGCCGATTTGCGAAGACCGACATTCTTTATCAAACCGAGGAAAAGGATGGGAAGACCACGCAGGTTGGCGGGGAACTGAAGACCGCCACCCATGCTGCCACCGGCAAGCTCTTTTCTGAAAGTCTGAAGAAGCTCTGTTACCTTGGCTTGCAGGGCGTCGCGGGCAGCGTCCAGGCCGCTGCTGAGAGCTCTCTCGACCGCCTTGTGGGTGAAATAGGTTGTGACGGCGCACTGGTCCGCCGAAGCGTAGACATCTGGCAGGTTCGCAGTCGTGGGCAGCGCAACGGTCATGACGCGGATGCGACGCTCACCGTTGCAGGTTGTGTGAAGAATGGCCGCCTGGAAGCAGACCACGTTCTTGGTCAGATTCTCGTCAATGGCAACCTCGACAACGTAGCACTGATCGCGAGGGAAGGCAGGGAATGAGCAGAGGTCGGAGCTTCGGTTGAAGAAATTGCCGTAGAATGTGTTCATACGAAGACCAGTGGTGGCACGCACGCGAAGAACCGCCTCGAGGCCGATCTCGGAGGAGAGGTAGTCGCTGAATTCGGAAGCAAACTTCAGCGCATCCTCGGGTCGGGAAGCATGCCAGCCAGGGTAGAACCAGGTCTGGCCACCAGTGTATCTGGGCAAGTTGCTAAGCGAGGCAACGTCTTGGTACTGGGAAGAAAACAGGAACATGTCAACCGAAACCTGATTCTTGGAGCACTCTACAGCGAAGCTCTTATAAAAGCTGTTGCCGGTTTGTAGCAGCGCGCCCTCCTTGGATGTGCCGAGGACCTTCTTATCTTCACGCATCTCGAGCTTGCCGGCGCCCACGTTGGGCAACGAGGCAGTCAGGACAACAAGCTTGCCACCGAGTGAAGAGATGAGCTTATGACCGGCTCGTAGAGCGGGCCCCATGCAGGAGCCGTTGCTTTGGTTGTTCTGGAACATCTCAGCCAGCTTCGAGAGGAATTTCTCGACGCTCTGGCGGGACTCGGACAATGGCACAAGCAAATCGTGAGGAACAGGAAGAAAAGGCTCATCCAGATCGCTGACAACCAGCATGTTGGTCTCGGCATTTTCGTCTTCGTCCTTGGGAATGGAAAAGTAGTGCAGGCTCGAGTCGACGGCCATGAAACCAATGCGCGTGCGTCTGTCGGCGTTTGGGATGTGGTTGAGACTGTCGAGGATCGTGCGGGCGCTGGTGGCGAGTAGGCCGCTCGAGATGGCGGCATAGCTGACATCGAAGATGAACAAGTAGACCAGAGGCTGAGGAGGTCGGACCATGTATTCTTGAGGAGCGACGAATTCGACAACAGCATGGTTCAGCTCAGGTCGCTGCCATCTGTCAACCGTCTTTTGAGCAGCCGAGTCCCAGTCGAAAGCTTGAGGAACGTCGTTGGTCAGGTTGCACATATTGCAACGCCATCGGTGGCCGTGGTCCATGAATGTGACGTATGGGTTGATATACGTTCTGCAGCGCCGGCAGCGAGAAATGACCTGGTCCTGAACAACAGGGACATTGTCTTCGTCGTCGTGGAGTGAGCCGTACGGCTGAATGACGAGGGAGAGCGGCAGCTTCGACTTCTTCAGCAGGGAGTTGGTCGTGGGGACCGCATTGAGAGTCGAACGGATGTATTGTGGAGGGCAATTTGCAGTCTCGGAGCGAGTTACGCTTGACTAGCAAGGCAGTTACTTTTAGCATTTTGGCGGCACACATGATAAGACAAGAGCTTACATTGGGGGGAAGATTGATCGGCGGGGGGGGCAGGTCGACCTCGGCGACATTAAAAGGCTGGCTCAACAGGTCCGAGGGGTAGAGCTGGTTGAGGGTCGCCGGGCGAGGCTGAGCCATTGGCATGTTTCCAGGCTGCTGGGCGCCCATGTTCATACCTGCGACGCCCTGTGTAATGCCGGCGACGTCTTGGACACCGATCTGAGCAGCCTGGTCGGGAGCAGGATAGCCGCCATAGGCGGGCTGAGGGGCGGCGGGCTGGCCGTACTGGTATCCGGCAGCGGCCTGTTGGGCCTGCAGCATGTCGGGCTGGGGATAGCCTCCGTACTGAGGGGTAGACGGCGCGCCGGGCTGCATCGGGCCGCCGGCGCCGGCATTGGGGCCGGTAGCAACGGCGAAGGCGCCAGCGGCATATCCACGCTTCTTCTTCTTGGGCGCCACGGCGGCGCCAGCGTCGACCGGAGCGCCATCAGGCTGCTGATCGTGCGGCTGGTCCTGGAATTGGCCGTAGCCGTCGCCTACAGGGGCGGACATGATGGATCGGGAGGTTCTTGCGGGGGTGTGTTCCTCTTTCGTGGGTCTGTCGAAGAAGGGATGGAGGAAGAGAAGGCGGTGGCGAGCGGATTCGCAATGATCCGTCGAAAACAACCGAGCGGGGGACAGAGAGCAAGATAAGGAGGATTGGAAAGGAAAAAAGACGAGACAGGTCTGCAGCCGAGTGCAGGCGCTGCGGAGGGGGAGAAGAAAGGGGAGAGGTGTCAACGCCGAGTGGTTTGAAGGGCTTCGGCGTTGGGAGTGGTGGCGGGACGTGTGTGGGAGCTCTCGAGAGTCGTGCTGTGGTGTCCTTTTCCCAATCTAGACGAGCGGCCCAGGTGGGGCCCTACCAGCATCCAAGCCGACGACAGCGCACTGCACAAGCATTGTGCCTTTACTATCACAACATTAATTTCGTACGAGATGGCGATTATTTTATATGTTTTCTGTATTTAAGCACAGTTGTAATTGAGTGTATTTTGGGAGACCCATCCTATGTTATTAGTTAAGCTAGTTACAGCACCGCGGGATGTCATTGTGTGAACGACTTTGTGGAGTGCAAGAGTCGAGCGCTCCTCGGAGCCGGCTTTACTTTTTACCCCGCAAGGTGCCGAGTGACAACTACATACCTGGTAGTAAGGCCCTATTTTTAACAGGGCACTATAAGGTAGGTCCTCTCTATATATATTTCCCCTATAACAACGCTATTAGGCTGCTACTATGTGTTAAAACTCTTTTATGTTTTTTATAAACTATGTTAGCACCTAACAGCGTTATAATAAGGGAAAATTACGTGTTAAACCGCGAATATATTAGTACCTTATTAAAAAACAGCCTCACGTCTATAAGGGGCGTACCCTTACTCTCACTATAATACGTTCTAGGTTCCTACCTATATACGCAAGTAAGGCCTGTTTTTAGATAGGGTACTAGATAGGTCGTTTTTTTAATAGATAATTTTCCCCTATTATAACGCTATTAATGTCTCTAACACAGCTTATAAAAAATATAAATATTTTTTAACACGTAGTGGCAACCTGATAGCGTTGTGATAGGGGAAAATTACATATTAAGCGGAAAACGTGTCTAGTGCCCTATTAGAAAACAGGCCTCACGCGCGTAGGTAGGTAGGTAAGTAAATACTAAAGGATAGATCAGTCTTGTAAGAACCCCTAATACTCTGCGAAAATAAGTACACAATCATTCGAGGATTATCCCCGGGTCCTGATTTCGCCAAGCCGATTCGCGCAACTACGCTGGCCAAAGACTGTTTGGCCGGATCTTCTCAGGACCGGCCAAAAAACGCCCATCAAGCACCAAACAGCAACCGGTAGGCGATGCAAATAATGCTGCGCCTCACCAAGGATCACGCTTGGCGCGCCCACCTTCTGCCCGTGGCCGTGGGAGGCAGCCAGTGGCGCACCACCGAAGCGAGACATTGCGCGAGGCTGGCAAGCTGGTAGTTACCGCTCTATTACAGTAGGAGACTAGACCTACCTCGCGCGTGAGGCCTATTTTCTAATAGTGTACTAGACATGTTTTACTTAATATATAATTTTCCCCTATTATAACGCTACTAGGCGTCTAACATAGCTTCTAAAAAAATATATAAGATCTTTAATATATAGTAGTAGCTAATAGCGTTATAATAGGGGAAAAAACATATTAAAAAAGAGACCTATCTAGTACCCTATCTAAAAACAGGCCTTACTCGCGTAGGTATATAGTTACTAAGGCAGGCATAGGCAGTATCTTACCTAAGGGTACCTTAGTAAGTTCGGCTAAGGGTGGCATCCCTTAGGTAATATTGCCTTACTAATTTCTAATATATACTATATAAAGGTTAATTAGTATATAACTAATTCCTAATTAGTTTATAACTAGTTCCTAATTAGTTTATAACTAATTACTAGTTATTAGTAGTTAGGTTAGTAGTTAGGTGTTTAGGTTAGCGGTTATTTAGGGTTAATGGTATATGATATTGGTTAGTTAGGGTTATTAGGGGTTAGGGTTAGTTATATAGTATATATCTAAAAGAAATAGGGCTACCTCATCTGAGGGATGCCACCCTCAGCCGAACTCACTGAGGTACCCTCAGGTGAGGTGTATCCACGAGGCAGGCATTATCCACTACCTAGTAGTAGGTAGTCCTTGTCCTTTTAGTATCTGTACTGTTCAACAACTGAGGTGTCCTCCCTAGCGCCTCTGTTGGCATGTGCCCGCTCCCCCACTAAGCGGCAACCTGTCGCCTTAGCACCCTTTGCCTCGTTCTCTCAAACCATCACCCATTCTTGCGTCAGGTCACTCTTCTTTTCCCTTCTCCCCCTTCCATCCTTCTTCTTCCCTAATATCGCATTACCTTGCCGAACTATACAACGAAATTTTACAAAATGGGCAAATTCTCCCTTTTCTTGTAAGCCACAACTCCGCTGCTCTACTACCTGTTGCGTCCTCCGAAACTCTATTCGTCTACGTTTTGAGATGGGCGCACACACTCGCCCGCTTCGTCGCCCCTCCCGCCGCGCTACCTACCTCTATAAACTCTCGAGTCGCCCCCGAGCGCTCATGCGTCCGGCGCATTTAGAAACACGCCGTTTCCTCAAACAGACAGACAAGCCAAGAATATCAACACCGTCGCTAACGCCATGTCCTTCGCGCTCTTCAGACAGATCCTCCCTTTGATCCTCACCCTCAGCATCGTGGGCGGCATTGGCTTCGTCCTCTACCACGTTTACCTCAGCGTCACTAAGATGGGTGAGACGGCCTCGCAGAGGATGGGCAAGAAGAACGTGGTCCTCACAAAGGACGGTATGCGGGTTGGTGTCAAGGATGTTAGAAACGAGAAATACGTCGACAAGACCCAGAGCTTCGTCGTAAAAGCGTGGAACCTCGGTCAAGCACAAGAGTAAGCAGCCTCACCCATCTTGTTTTCTTTCCCTTCTTCTTTTGAGAAGAAATTGTTTCAAAAAACTCCGCTAACTTGACATAACCTCTAGTGGCAAAAAGACCAATTAAGAACGATAGAAGAAGCGAAATCGAACCTATACCACAAACAAGCAATACAGTACTCCACCTCAACACGATACCAGTCTCAACGAAGAGGAAAATCCTATTCCATCGAAAGGAACTGGCCGGAGCAGGCGGAGCTCCGGTACTGAGACTATCCATCTATCTCATATCCCACATGCGCCCATTTATCTGGGAAAGCTTTTGTTAGCCATATATTTGTTTTCATGTTGGATCAATGACTACAAGAATTACGAAACCTTGCATTACTACGTTCTCACAAGGGGTTGAAATGCCTGAACACTGCAACGGTCTTGCGACTTTCCAGATTCCAGAGGCTCGTGACAGTGTCCTGCCGTTGTGCAACCCTGTACGTATGAACAAGTCAAGTATAAATTCAATCCGTTATAACATATATTGACTTATCAAATGCTACCATCAAAGTGATGACCCGGCGCCAATCCGTGATGCGCGATGCTAACGAGACTCAATTCCTGTCTTGCCAATAAAATCGTCATCACTCCTATGCTCACACATCTCGCCTACCTTTTCTAGGCCATACAATCTCTTGCTCGTTGCAGCCTTGGTGAGATAAGCAAATATCACACTCCAAGCCTTAATGGACACCCTCACCCGAGAACCTGTAAGTTGCCAAGGCAGCTTCCATAGCCTCTCTTCGCTGCTGTTCAAACATTGCCAGTCTTTCTTGACTTTGACCGAATGGAGGCTCTGCACTAAGCCCTGATGGAGGCACAACCCTGTTTGAGAGAACCTTCTCAAAGTCCACCGCAGAGGTGTCAACTGAACCACTTGCGGCCATGGTGTCTCGCTTGATGAGCATTGAGGGCACTCGAACATTAACATGAGTCAACATCTTGGCGTATCTAACGCCAAGATCAGACGCAATAAACTCGAGTCTGCCCTTTGCCCACTCTCTCTGGCCAGCTGTTGAATAGTCTTGTGTGATGATGCAGCTTAGTGGCCAAGTGACAAAGTAGCCAGAGAGGCCCTTTGCGCCGGCCTCATCACCGCAGCAGTAGCTGGTGAGATCTGACCGTTCAAGAAGCTCTTGGCGTGATTTGAACCACCCCAACTGGTATGGGATAGCCGCGCAAAGGTCCGTGATGATGCTGGCACAGGTGTTGGACCAGGTTGCGTATTCTGGGGTAGTGCGGTAGTCTATCGGAGAGTAGACCCATGCGATTGCTCTTACAATCATGGAAGCAAGAACAAGTCTAGAACATCGCATTGTAACCCAGACCGTCGTAACCCAAAGGTCTTGGAAGGCGTCAACTCGACCTGGAAATACTTCTGCCTTGGAGTAGTCGCCGCCGGGCACACCGCTCACCCAAGTCACAGGCTTGCCCTTGTAGTTGTCCGGGATATTCTCAGACCAGTGTTGCAACTCCTGGTCCTTGAGTTGGCATTTTCTTATCACGTTCATGATAGTCTTGGTGTTTTCGGGGGAATGGAGCAATGAAACAAGGAGCTTGTTGGCTTCCGTCTTTAGCTCGCTAATCTGCAGTGTGATCCTCTGTAAGTTGGTCGCAAACGGGTCTTTCATTGCGTCCTTGATCCAAAAGTCGACATTCCGCGCGACGGGCTGACCAGAACTGAAGGAGTGAATGATCTAATACGATATGGTAAGCGACTCACCATTGCAAGGGATCAAGGAGGAAATAACGTACCTGCTGGGTGCGAACTGTCACAAAAATGTCTCGCCCAACCTTGGTTTTTAGTTGGTCTGGCCCGCGTCTTTGAACGAGTTGAATGGCGCCCTCGGTATGAGTGCTCCAAGCGAGCATGCCAAAATGTCGAGAAGTGATATTCTCGAACAAGCTAAGAAGGAGAACTGCCGCAATCGTCCCATCCTGTCGGGATTCAAAGGGGTCCTGGATGGCACGCCCAGTAGCCGCCAGGGCCTTTACGTACTTGAGAATAGCTGCCTTCTCCAGATGTTCAGTGTCTTTCATTCGGTTACTAAAGTAAGCAAGCGCACATGCTTCAAAAGCTAGCTTGAAATGAGGGGAAGGGTTTCTGGCTTTGATCAGCGGGATAACAAACTCAAAATAACCCCGTTGAGTTCCTTGCGGCGGGATCAAGACGTAGTTGGAGACGAAGTGGTGAGCTGTCCGTTCGTCGATTGACTGAGTTGGCGGCGCGGCTGGACTTGACGGCATACTCGATGTGGCCGAACGGACTGGTGAGTTTCTTTCTGGCGACTTTCTAGACAACGACTTTCCTGTCTTGAGTGCCAGGGCCTTGTCGTTTGCCTTCCGAGCCCTTCGCTCTGTGGCCTCTGTCTCGTTGCGAAAGACTAAATCAAATTCGTCTTTATAACCTGGACATTCTCGGCGTGATTTTGCACATTGTTTGCAGGTTGGTTTTGTCTCGTCACACTTGAAAAATGTGTTAGTCAACGCTGGAACGCAAGTTGAGAGTTGGGCAGCCTGGCGGAGGCGGAGACCCAGAACGCCATGAAAATAATGCTGGGTTTTGACGTACCTTGATGCGCCTGGTTCTACACATTTGGCAACCCCTGGAAGGATGGCCAGAGTAAACCATTCTGCTGGATGGTGAAAAATGGTGCACTCGACAAAGAAGGAGGAGGACGACGAAGAAGCAGAAGAACAAGAAGAAGAACAAGACTGGAAGCTGGATACAAAGAAGGGAGAAGAAGAGGAGGAAGAAAAGGAGGAACGAAGACAAGATTGGTGAAACGTGACGGCGGCCAGAGATTTTGTAGGAGGGACGATTTACAAAGTTTGCTGGTTTTGGTTGTACTGTGCAAACGAAGTGAGGGTGGAGAGGACCATCGTGCAACGCTGGAGGCGAGGTCAGAGAGGGCTGGCTCCTTTTGACTTTTGACTCCACCACTTTCAACACTTTCTATCACGACGACGCCTGCCTTGTGACTCACTAATATGTGTTACCTCAGATTTTCCTACTGATTCGCGAACTTAAATTAACAGAAGTTACGTTCTAGCGACATAGAAAGAGTCAAGCTTCGCAACACCCCACCCGGCCCCGGGCCAGCTGTTCCTTGCGCTGTTCCTGGTGCCTTTGCGTTCCTCGGCTCCACAGCGATCTTGTCCCTATCTGCTCGATTTATTGCCGAGTTCACATCTTCTCCAATAGGTAGCTTTCTGGCCTCCGTTTACATACTCGTTCTTCTTTCTCATACTCTGGTTTTATGGCTCAGAAGAAGTTTCTAGATGTATTAGGCCTATCTCTGAGGTTTCCCCCCTTCTCAGCCTTATCCTGCCACTCTTCTGCTGCTTCTCGTAGATACGTACAGTGGGGAGGGTCTATCCATCCGGATGACTGTTTACCAATGAAAAGAGGACAGGGCCCTGACAACAACATACCTGATGATACCTTAGGCAGTACATATTACAGCTAGAGCCTATACGGATACATAGCGTCGGCCTAGAGTACAGCACAGCCCTATATAGGTAAAATAGTATATTTACTTTATAACTAACTTATAAGGGAATATAAATAAGATTATTATAAAGTTATTTAAAATAAAAGCTAGAAGATAATATATATTAATTATTATATTACTTTAATCTTTAATTAATAAAATAGAACTAAAAACTATATATATATTATAATATATATTTATAAATAAATATTATAATAAAATACTATTTTATTATTTAAATATATATATAAATAATAAGTAATTTAATATATTTAAATACCTAGCATAGGCGCTTAGCAGGGCAGCAGGGGGGCAAGAGGGTAGCGGGGGGGGGGGGCAGCTAGCTAGATTAGCACTAGAATAGGGGTAGATAATAGACAGGCAAGGGTTACTTATATTGTTAATAGTAATAATAGCAGTATTAGACTAACAAGGTTAAGGTTAGGATAGGGCTAGGCATATACTAGGGATAAGGCAACTTACTATAGTAGTAATAGTAGTAATTAAAATTTTATTTTATTCTAAAGAAGTATTAATAATATTAAGATAAAACTAGGAGTAGCCTAGGGGTAGGCTAGGAAGGTATATAAAGGTAAGAAGAGGGAGAATATATAAGTATAATAGTAATAGTAATAAGAAACTAATAAAAAAGAGAGTTAATATAGTTTAATAGCTAGAATAAAAATAGCTTAGTTTAAGTAAAGGTAAAAGTAATAATAAGAAGGTAGTATATATATTAAAGGTAAAGAAGATATATAATTATATATAATTAAAAAAGAAAAGAAAAGAATAAAAATTAAAGAATTTAAAGCTTTTTAAATATTATAATAAATAAACTAATTAACTAAATAGCTAATTAAAAATAATAATAATTAAATATATATAGTTATAGTATCTTCTTTACCTAGTATAATAAATATAAAGAATTATATATAGGCTTATATTAAATTAAAAGCTTAAAAAAGGTATAAGAATATAATAATTAGGTTAGATTAGGTAGAAATATAGAAAGGAAAAAGGTAAGTTATATTACTTATTAAGACTAAAGCTTATCCCTTTTTCCTTCTAAGAAATATCCCTTCTATTTTATAATAACTAAAAGGAGAATAACCTATCCTTTTAATTAGAGTTTAAATACTATTTAAATACTAGTTAAAACTTATATAAACTAGTCCTATTCCTATAGGTCTACTCTAGGTCTTAATTTAGGCTTAACTTGCCTATAGGTCTTACTAATCTTATAACTAATTCTTCCTTAGGGTAACTCTAGCCCCTTCTACCTTATAGTGGATTAGTTATCCTATACGATTCGCGCTTGCCGCGAATCCTTAGCTACTACGCGTCTAGTGCTTATAGTATACTATGTGTAGCTCCCTAAGCATTAGGGCTCTTTACCTTTGTAGATGCTGAATCGACTTTGATTCGAATTATATACTTAGAGTATTATAAAGAATATAAATAAAGTAATTATAAAGTAAAAAGTAAAGATAGGTATAGAAATATATAGAAGTAGGAAAGTAGTAAGGCTATCCTAACTAGTCTTAAATTAAATAAGGCCTTATAAAAGGTAAAGTTTTTACCTATTTAGTATAAATAATATAGAAAATAAACTATAAAAACTAAAAAGAAGAATAATAAAGGTAGGTATTATAGCCTTTTATAGTTATTATTATACTTATTTAAACTTTAAAATATTTAAGAATTAGGATTTAAAAGAAACCTTAACTATATATAATACCTAGCTTAAGCTAAGATAAAGCTATAAAGGAAAAAGGTTAAAAGGGTTAAATAGGGAATAGGTAGGTTTATTAGTTTACTAAGTTTTATATATTTATATTTATTATTATTATCTTTTATTAAGATA